CAGCCTTGGTTCGCATGCTGCAGAGCAGTAGTCCGCCCTTCTCGCTAAGTGATCAGGACACAGTGAGTGTTGTCTGCTTTTTGTTTTTCAGCAATTTCTCCTTTAGCTAAATCAACAAAACCCCACTCTTTTTGTTTCTCAGTCTGTTATGCCCAAGTGTCATAAACCCCAAAGACTACCAGGGAGCCGAATCCGATGCAATTGCAGAAAGCCTGTATTTATTTCGGACTAGTCCGAGCCCAGTCTCACCCACACCAACAAGGGCATGGGCGAGAAAGAGGAAGAAATTAACATATCAGTGGGTTTTATAGGGAGGGGGGTGCTGCTACCTTGGCTGACCTGATTGGTTGGGTTAGGCCTAGGGTCCAGTTACCTGGAGCTGGACCCGCCCCCACCTGCCCTCTCACCCACCTGCCCTCTCGCCCCGCCTGCCCCCTCACCCCGCTCTGCCCTCTCAAGTCCATTTCTGTTACAATTAAGATTTGGGGGAGATGGGTAATGTAGTTATGTGGTTCAAAGGGCACAAGTATAGAACTGAGTCTTCATCTCCCCTTGACTCCCAGCACGGGCACTGCCCTGGGGACAGCCAGTGGCTTCTCTGTGAGAAGAAAAGACACATTTTTCCTTTTCTTTTCAGCAATGCATCTTCTTGACAATTTTCTCTATGAACCCGGGCTTTGCCATCCTCCCCCCCTTTCCCCCACCCCGGTTTTGCCCCAGAGGGTGTTGGATTTGGTCTTGCGTTCAGCAGAGGGGCCGTGCTCAGCGTGGTGAGGGGCAGTGTCCGCAGTGATGCGGGAAGGCCGGCGTGTCCTCCTCCGCTGCTCCTTCCGGAAGCACCCGGAGGTGCTCTGGGACCTGGGACCTAGGAGCAGATCGACCATCTGACCCCACAGGTCGGTCTGCGGCTCCCGCGGCTGTCCTTCGTCCCTCCCTGCCTGTCTGACGTCAGTGTGGCCCGTTCTCTCTGATGTTGGTCCCGGGCCAGCCTGTCTTTTCTTCTGCACAGGGAGGTGTCCTTCCTCCGAGGGCGCTCTCTTTAACCGGGGGGCTTAGCCCGGAATGTAGAAATCTGTGCCCAGATTTCTGTCCCGAGCTTCAGACCTAAACTCCACATGCAACCTGTGCTTTCACCGTCGTCACTAACTGCCCCTCACGGGCTGTCCGGGACCAGCCGCAGCCCGCCTTGCCTCTCCGCCATTGTGCCTTAGCTGTCTCATGTCAGCTACAGCTTCCCTCGAATATCTCCTGACCGAGTCTCCACCCAAGGCTGCTAAATATGGACTCACTCATCTCAGATTTACAGTGCAGCTCTGTCCTGTTAAAGAGGAAGGGGATTATTTACTCCTTCCATCATTTCTTATTTTAAAAAATATATATTTTACTGATTTTTTACAGAGAGGAAGAGAGAGGGATAGTTAGAAACATCGATGAGAGAAAAATATCGATCAGCTGCCTCCTGCACACCCCCTATTGGGGATGTGCACGCAACCAAGGTACATGCTCTTGACCGAAATCCAGGACCCTTTAGACCGCAGGCTGACACTCTATTCACTGAGCCAGACCAGTTCTGGTTCCTTCCATTATTTCTCACACACACCTTGTCATTGTGCCTCCTGGCCAGTCCCTTTTATCTCAGACTTCCTCCTGGAGTTTAGATCACACTTTTATGTCGAGAACTTCCCCAGCCCCCTGTGCTCTCAGAGAGAATTCCTGTACATCCCAAGTTCTGGCTGTTGGGACACTTGTTTATTATGTGGTAGGTTTGGTGTCCCTGGTATTCTGATCACCAGAGCCCCGAGTTTTTCCCTTCAGGGATGTTTTTTTGGCTCCTGTGTACCAGTTCCTAGAGGACAAGAGGGTGTGGTGATGTGTGGAGGGTGCCAGTTGCCCAGTGAAGAGAAAATTCTTTCACTTTATATGTTTCTGGGTTTTGTTTTTAATACTCACCCAAGTCCATGTTCATTAATTTTTATTTTTTTTCTTTTACTTTTTTTTATTAAATTATTATCTGTGTACATATTTTACCATTGCCCCCCCCCCCATACATACCTTCCCTCCCCAGAGTTTTGTGTCCATTGGTTGTACTTATATGCATGTATACAAGTCCTTCGGTTGATCTATTATCTCCCGCAGATCTCCCTACCCTCCCCACTGTAATTTGACAGTCTGCTTGTTGCTTTACTGTCTCTATATCTATCTTTTGGTTCATCAGTGTATAATCTTTATTATCCATAAATGAGTGAGGTCATGTGGGGTTTCTCTTTCATTGACTGGCTTATTTCACTCAGCATGATGTTCTCCAATTCCATCCAGGTTGCTGCAAATGATGAGAATTCCTTCTTTTTTATGGCAGCATAGTATTCCATTGTGTAAATGTACCATAGTTTTTTGATCCAATCATCTGCTGACGAGCACCTAGGCTGTTTCCAAATTCTGGCTATTGTAGATTGTGCTGCTATGAACATAGGGGTGCATATATCCTTTCTGATTGGTGTTTCTAGTTTCTTGGGATATATTCCTAGGAGTGGGATTACTGGGTCAAATGGGAGTTCCATTCTCAGTTTTTTGAGGAAACTCCACACTGTTCCCCACAGTGGTTGCACCAGTCTGCATTCCCACCAGCAGTGCACGAGGGTTCCTTTTTCTCCGCAACCTCGCCAACACTTGTCGTTTGTTGATTTGTTAATGTTGGCCATTCTGACAGGTGTGAGATGGTTCCGCATTGTTGTTTTGATTTGCATCTCTCCCATGTTCGTTGATTTTTAGAGAGAGGGGAAAGTCAGGAGGGGACAGAAAACATCAATGCGACAGCAAAATGTCGACGGTTGCCTCCCACACATGACCGACTGGGGCTGGGGATCAAACCTGACACCTAGTCCGTGTCCTGACCGGGAATCAAACCCGAGGCCTTCTAGTGTATGGGGGGGATGATACTCCGTGTCATTTTACTTCTCACAACCAGCATCTGCATAAGATTGAAAGGAAATGTATAAAAATAAGTTGAATGAAGACAGTAGAAATAAATTTCTCTTAAATGTTCTTTTATAACGAAACTTTAAAGACTTATTTTTACAGATCTGATGGGGATTCTAACGTTCCAATTTTCTTTAATAAATTATTTCTGTGCAAATTTAGCTATCTTTAGCCATCAGGCTCACAGCGATCTGAATCTGTGATGTCTCTGGCATTATCACATGTGCAAATCGTTGGCTCTTTAGGAAGTTCTCTGCTAGCCACCCCTTGCTCTGGGGTTTCCTACAGCAGCAGCTTGTACTCCGTCAGCCGTACCACTTGAAGGTTTGGAAGGGGTTTGCGTGGAGTCCTGGGTGCGTGTGGACGTGGGAGTCAGGCAGCTCCGAGTCCCGGTCTGGCACCTCCCAGCTGGGGGGCCGTGGACCAGTCTTCCTTTCCCGGCCACCTGACGGGGGAGGCCCGTTAGTGTGGTCATGGGTGTGGCGGTGGCTCTGCGGCAGACAGGGCCTGGGTAACTGTTAGCAGCCCTCTTGGTTGCCTTGGTGTAAGGTAACTCAGTTCTGCCTGTCGGGGGGTGACCGGGGGCCGCAGTGGCCATGGATTTCCTTCAGGCGCGGGTCCTGAGCTGCGGGCACAGCGGCTGGCCCGGAGTCTGACCGGCTGTTGTGGGAATGACTGGGAGGTTCCAGCTACAGCGATGCTTGCAGCTCTCCCAGCGGGAGCACGGTGTCTGTGTCAGCTCGGCGGGGGAGCTCAGAGAGAACTCCGGCCTGGGCGGCTGTCGGGTGGCTGTCTTCTCCTCTGGCACATAAAACCCGAGGCCACGGCAGCCCCAGCAGCGTTGGTGTTGGCGGTAAAATGGCCTGCCTTCGGGCTGAGTCAGCGCTCCCTCCTGGAAGTGTGCTTCTCTGGTCCCGTGTTCTACGCTGCGGCTCAGCTTGTAGGGCAGATACATCCGTATCTCTCTGCTCGCAGTGAGCTGCCAGGCCTGTAGATGAGACTGGTGGGCGAGGACCAGCCAGAGCCTGTGGCTTCTGCAGTTCCTCCCGCCCGGAGCCAGCCACGCCGCAGCCTCCAGAGCCCTCTGCCCTGGCGCCTGCAGGGGTAGGCGGCTGTGTTCGGAGCCCTGGTCTGGCCACACTCCCCACGGGCTCTGGAAGGTCTTTCCTCCTTTTCTGGTTTCCACAAGAGGCTGTGGAAACCAGAAAAGGTGCCTGCAAGAGGCTGGGTACGATGGCCGCAGGTTCTCTTGTTTTCAGAGATCATGTTGGATGGCCCCAGCCATGAGTTGGGACCTGCTCTGAAGCCCCTGTGCCTGTTCACCCAGCAGCAGCTTCGTGTCTCCTCTGCGGTGGCAGTCTGTCTGCGGGCTCCCCGGCTTTTCCTGGGTGGCAGCATGGGGGCGAGTTGGTGGGTGCCATCATTCCAAGAACTCCAGCCCCGCTGCGCAGACGCTTTGTCCTGCCCTTGCTCACTTCACATTCATCGGTGTCCCATCAGCCAGCGCCAGTCCCACGCCAGAACAAGAGGGAGCGCATGAGGCAGTGCTGATCGGGGCCAGTTCAGTCCCCCACAGCGTCCATGCTAATGACCTACGTCCTGAGGGCTTCCTGCCATGGTTTTGTTCAACTCTCTCATAGAATTCCTCGGCATATAAATCTGCTACACTCAGGATGCGCTTCCCTGGGACTATGCGTTTTGATTTGCAGATACCCGAGTTATACGAAGTTTAGTCACAAACTGTTCTTGCCTGAATCCCATCATCTGTGTGCAGACAGCAAAGTAGCATTCAGCTGGCACTGGCATTTTCCTCGGGCACCTCTGCTTTCTCCCAAGAGGAAGTTGAGGCGCGTGGTATTGGGTTAAAGTGACTTCATGGTTACTATGTACTTGCATGTTTTAGATGTGAGCTACTGGACCTTACCAATGAATCGGTTCTTAGGTAAAAAGTTAAACTTATATTGCAACAGTGGAAGATGATGTGTAATAACCTGTTTCGGGGGAATTGTGTGTTTGTTTTTTAGCTCTTCAGAGAAGTAAGAATAATGAAGATTTTAAATCATCCAAACATAGGTACTTTCTGCTTTATTAAGTATTTTTGTGTCTAAATACATTCTTGAAACTATTTCATAAAGTTAAATATGTATTCCAGGAAAGAGATGTCTTCCCTCCTCCAGCCCAGGCACACTTCTAATAAAATATATCTCCAAATTGTTTATCATTTGTATTAACTTTCTGAAATTTGCTAAAGACATGTTAAAAGCTTAGATACTAGACATTTGAATTTAAAGCTTCAATGCAGTAGAAACATTTATAATTAGATTATAATATTCTAATTTTTTAATTATTGGAAAATATAATTGTATTTAATTCATAGCTAGAGAGAAGGGAATTCTGTTAGGTCAGAATTAAGATTTTCAAGAAAATACTTGGACATTGAACCATTTAAAAAGACTAGGATAGTTATCCACTGGGATTTTGATATGATTGTTTATATGGCACAAACTTGTTTTCAGTGCCCTTTGCACAGCTCTGCTGGGTGTGATGAGGAGGCTCAAAGATGAGGAAGGCCATGGTCCTGTCCTTGTGACTAGGACCAGGTGAGAGTGACAGTCCCCTAATTCTGACCTGTTGTGTAGATATCTCCCTGGGAATTTTTGATCCCATATATCATAATAGTTAGAAACAATGTAACTGCTTCTTTACACAGTAATAGCTCCTGCAGTCTAAAAATATCACTTCAAGAGTAAAATAACTTTTATCATGTAGATAGGGAACACTTAATAAATATTGATTAGAAGAATAGTGAAATATACGCACAGCAAGTGAAATAACTCTTAAAGACAGCAGTTTACTTTCAGAATCACTTCTGGGAGGCGGGAGAAGTGACAGTTGATGTTAGGATGTCCTGTGGAGAATTCCTGAGGCACAGGAAGAGAAGACTTAGCTTATTCTGTATTTCACCAATCCGAGCCACTGTTACTTAAAAGGCTTTATTATTTTATGAACTAAAAAAAAACAATGCTACCAAGCCATCATCCCATTATCAGTGATATTAGTTAAAAAGAGAAACTATACATCTTAAAATCAGTAAAATATATGTTTGGAGAAAAGAAAAATAAGGAATATTAATAAAAAGAAAGTCTTTCACTTTTTGTTTCAACCCTTTGTTAGCAAGTCAACTCTGAATTTTAAATTCTAACTTCTCATCCAAAACACTTTATATTACTACTGCCTAGAACTGGCTAACTAGAGCATATTTATTTTATTTTTTAATTAAGTTGTACCCTGATTGGAGTTCTCTCTACTTATTACTAACTGACCTATCTTTGATCTATTACTTTAATAATGGTTTTAAGTGTCTAAAAATTTACTATTGGATTAAAATCATTTTCCCAGAAGAGGTAATATTTGTATTGGAATTTGAGAAAGGTTTTGTTTATATGTTGATGGTTGTCCAGCATATATGTCTTAAATTTATCTCAATGATTTCTTGATAACCCAAATATTTCATCTTAGAAATATGATAGTTTTATTCATTAGTTCAACAAACATATATTAAATACTATTAGGCATTTTATTTGGCCTATTACTCTCTGTTAAAACATCATAAAATAGCCCCAATTATAAAAGACTAGCATTCTCCCCACCCTTTGGTAAATTTAATTTTAAAGTATGTATTACCAAAATAAAGTAGATAATGCAAAAACAGTGATTTGATACCTTTAGAAATTTAGTTTTATTCAAAAACGTGTGTGTTTTAATTTTTTATGGTTTTAAAAAATATATATTTTATTGATTTTTTTACAGAGAGGAAGAGAGAGGGATAGAGAGAAACATCGATGAGAAACATTAATCAACTGCCTCTTGCACACCCCCTACTGGGGATGTGTCCGCAACCAAGGTACATGCCCTTGACCAGAATTGAACCCGGGACCTTTCAGTCTGCAGGCCGATGCTCTATCCACTGAGCCAAACCAGTTTCGGCAATTTTTTATGGTTTTATGAATTAGCAGTAATTGGAAGGTTTTTTCTCTGTCACAAGATCTGGTATGATAAAGTTACTCTGACCCATTGAAAAGAATTCTTTTAAAAGTTCTTTTCATTTAATCACAGTATAATCCCTTCTACTTCTTTACTGGCTTCAGAATAGTAACAAAGGAACCTTGTTTTTGGAGAATTTATGTTTCCTAAACAATACAAATCTCGGGTGGAATTACATATATCCTTGAAGCCAGAATGAAAAGTAAATAGATTTGCACTTGCGGAAGCAGAGTAGATCTGCGCATTCCCTGCAGTTTGAATGTGAAATAAGGCTTTTCCCGAGTTGCAGCGGGGGAGCTGCTGGGAAGGCAGCTGCCGGGACAGACAGACAGACGCACTGCCAGGCAGCGAGAAGGACAAGGCAGGCGCACTCCACAGGCTGTGCCTGCACGCCGAGAACGCCCTGCCGGCACCCAGAAAGAACATTATTTTTATGAAATTCCAAGTCTTTTCTGTTGTTGTTGTAATATATAATAAATGTCGGAAAGCAGTTTTTAGAGGGCCCTCTATTAAAAGCTTACACAGAAAATGGTTACTTTTTGTAGTTAGTTTATATGTCCATGGTGTATGCACACAAACATCTGTTTCTTCTGTATCCTCTCCCTCCCCCAGTGAAGTTATTTGAAGTCATCGAAACTGACAAAACACTCTACCTAATCATGGAGTATGCGAGCGGAGGTAAGAAGCCGATCCCTGTTTCTCCTTCTTTCCTTTGGGAAGCACACACCACACGCCATATGATCATTGCTATGTTCCTTTACTGTGCGCACTCATAATACATAGGGTGAGAGTCAGAGAAGCCAGCTGTTCGCAGTTCTGTGGTTGTATTTGTTCACTATTAACATTTTAAATGGACAATATCCCGATATTTGGATTTTTTTATTGTGGTAAAATTACACAACATAAAAGTTACAGTTTTATCACTTAGAGTGTATAGTTCAGTGGCATTAAGTAATACACATTGTTGTGTATCCATCACCACCATCTATCCACACGACTTTTCCATGTTGCAAACTATCGTTCTGTCCCATTCAACACTGCCTCCTTGCTCCCTCCATCCCAGTCCCTGGCCGCCACGTTCTGCTTTCTGTCTTTATGACTTTGGCTGCTCTGGGGACCCTGTATGAGTGGAATCATCCAGTTTTTGTCCTTTTGACTGCCTATGTCACTTAGCATAGGTAAGGCTCATCTATGTTGAAGCATGTGACAGGATTTCCTTTTTAAGACTGAATAGTGTGTGTGTGTGTGTGTGTGTGTGTGTGTGTGTGTGTCTGCCTGCACATGTGCGAGTGTCTATACCACATTTTATTTATTTCAAGTACTTAGATTTTTAAATATAACCTGGATATTAGCCTGTTTGAAATAAACTTGTTTTTCCTTACCAGATTTTAATTTCATTGGTGTCCATTGTTCCCAAGGTCAGAAGTGATGGTTTAATGCAATAATTAGATTTTCCTTAAATATTAAGGGCTGGTAATTATTGCCTGCAAGTTTATATGAATGTAGGCATTTTCTGAAGTGAATATAGATAGCCGTATTCACAGCTCTGGTCTCTCACAGAGATTCCCGTTTTCCGGAGGCTTGAGTTGTCGGGCCCTGTGTGGTCGTGGAGGCCAGGAGCTGCCCTGCTTAGCTTGGGTGTCTCCTGCTCCTTGCACAGTGTCTGACACGTAGCATTTCTCAACAAATGAGAATTTAGTTTCTTTACAAAACTATAAACTACTCGCGACATACTCTATTTGACTATAGTATAGCTTAAATTGTTTTGGGTAGCGTTTTATTTTTTATTTTTATTTTTTTAATATATTTTATTGGTTTTACACAGAGAGGAATTGAGAGGGACAGAGAGTTAGAAACGTCGATGAGAGAGAAACATCGACCAGCTGCCTCTTGCACACCCCCTACTGGGGATGTGCCCACAACCAAGGTACATGCCCTTGCCCGGAATCGAACCCGGGACCTTTCAGTCCGCAGGCCGACGCTCTATCCACTGAGCCACACCAGTCCCGGCAGCGTTTTATTTTTTCATTAGCACTGTTATCCAGATGATAAAATCTGAAAACCAAAGTAAATCGTAGCCTCCTTGTAGTGAGTTAACCATTGGATAAAAGATTGGAAGCCCGTTGTGAGCAAGTAGTATGCACACCCCTGACATCCCTTTTTCGTACTCGATTCGTTATTAGTTGTGTGACTTCTGTTTTAGATGTGTGGTTGAAGAATGTAGTTGGTATTCCCCAATTGATTAGTTGTAGGAAGAGCTCAAGGATTACTGAAGAACTGAGCATCCATATGGAGTTCTAATACTTGCTGGTCTCCTTACAGAGTAAACCTTCAGAGCCTTTCCACTGGCGTAGCCTCAGTGGCCACAGCGCCTTCTCTGGCCCGGCCTCTCCTTGAGCTTCACAGTGACGATGCTGTGGCCAGGCAGGGAGGCAGGGAGGCTGGGAGGCTGGGAAGTCGCACTGCGGTCACTTCGCCAGGCCTGTAGCCCAGCCTTCCGACCCTGTATAGCTGGCCATGGCTTTCTGTGCCCATCTGTTCTAGGTACAGTGCTGTACAGATCGTTCTTCTCTATGAACAAAACAAAACTTCTGGCTAGCCCATGAACCAACAGATCACTGGTATGATTCCTGGTGAGAGCGTATGCCCGGGTGTGTGGAGGAAGCCGATCAATGTTTCTCTCTCATCGATATTTCTATCTCTCTGTTCCTCTCCTTTCCTCTCTCTCAAATCAATAAAGGATATTAAAGAAAAAAAACAAACATCTAAGAAACAGCCAGTTTTAGGAGAAAGAGGATGTGCTTTGGGAAAGAGAGCCGGGGCCAGTCCATCCAGTTCCCTCGTTGGCAGAGTGACCAGATAAGTCTCTGAGTGTCTCAGTAACTCTCAAACATGGTCCTCCTCTGAGAAGCATTAAAAAGTTCATCAGTGGTGGCGGTGTATTGGCTTTGGCTGTTTGCTTTAATCCTCTCAATTAAGCACTGTTATTTTCAGGACAATCTATTTGATTGTTTATGTTTGCCATTTTGAACAATAAAAATTTTCATTAGATTTACTTCCTATTCCTTTCCAGTCTGGTGTTTTTCAGTTTAGCAGAATCAGTGAATTATAGAATTGGAAGGAATCTTAGAAATCATCCAGGACACCTACCTAATTTTTACAGATGAAACTAAAACCTTGAAAGATGTTCTATGCCAATTGTTCCATCACTAGTGGCAGGACCTGAATCTTCATCCAAGAGCTTTCTCAACTGTCCTGTCCAGTGTCCTTCCAGCAACCACAGGGCCCTTGGCCTGGGTGGAGAGAGCCACTCTTCGCTATTTTTTCTCTAAGAGATAGATAGCCTTTAGGGGTTTTCAGTTTAGCAGCTTCATCTGAGTGCTAATCCATCTATAATAATAAAAGTATAGTATGCTAATTAGACTGGACAGTCAGTCAAACGACCTTCTAGACATCCTTCTGGACGAAGCCATGGTGGCAGAGGTGGTTAGGGGGGATCAGGCAGGCAGGCGAGCAGTTAGGAGCGGTCCTGGATTGTGAGACAGATGTCCAATTGTGAGAGGGCTGGACTGAGGGAAACCACACACACACACACACACACACACACACACACACACACGAACCTGCATGAATTTCATGCACTGGGCCTCTAGTTTTTAATAAGGAAAAAAACGTGGGATGAATTTCTAATTTATAACTTAGTAATTGTGAGTATGATTTTATGGTTCCTAAAACTCTTAAGAGGTTTATATGATATTTGAATTTATAAAAGTGTTTTAAAATTATTTTGATAGACTTGGATTTTATCTGTGAGAGCAGAGGAGAATATGAAATGAGTGGCCTCTTGCAAGAATCCCTCTGCTCCCAGAGGGGGAAGCGGATAGATGTGAGGAAGGGACAGACCCACTACAATATCTATTAATTTTTTTTTAAGTCAAAACTGTTTTCCATATGATATGCATATATCTTTAGTTTTCACATTTTAATTACTTGTTTGTTTTTTTTAATCCTCACCTGAGTATATTTTTCCATTTATTTTTAGAGAGAGGAAGAGAGAAGGAAAGACAGAAATATCGGTGAGAGAGAGAGATGTCGATTGGTTGATGAGAGAGAGTCATGGATCGGCTGCCTCCTGCACACTCCCCACTGGGGATCGAGCCCACAACCTGGGCTTGTGCCCTGACCGGGAATCAAACTATGTCCCCTGGTACATAGATTGACAATCAACCACTGAGCCACCCCGGCTAGGCAAAATGTTTTTGTCAAATGTTATTACTGGTAGTATTTGTGTGTATGAAGTAGACAGGATTCTTTCCTAAACAGTTCATACCACATTTGTTAAATGAGTCCTCTTTCTGTGGGTTTCAGAGGTGTTTCTTTCTTCCAGATTGATAAGCAATTGGCAGTACTGATACATTCGTTGAATGTCACCCTCTTCCCCAAGAAATGTCCACCGGCGCATTCTCTTGGCTTCACCCCACTCTTTGTCCTGGTTCCCTCCCTCTCACATCACTGCCGTGTCCCACTCCAGGCCCAGCGCTCTCATCCTGGCTCTTCCCCACCCTAACCTGCTCTTTCTCCAGCAGCCAGAGTGCTCCTTGTAAGAGGTCAGCCATTTTATATCCTCCTCTGCTCTCACTTGGCTGAGCCCGAATCCTGACCAAAGCCCATCAGCTCCTTCAGGACTCACCCTCCTACCCATTCCTGTGCCCATCCACTGCTGCCCTCGCCCCGTGCTCAGAGGGGTCAGCCAAATGTTTGCACACACGAGCACACTTCCTGTTCCTTTGCCCATTTTTTTCTCCTCCACTATACTTCTTACCATCTGACACACTGTGTATTTTTTTGTCTACTACCTGTCTCCCCCCCCCTTGAATGTAAACGCCACAGGAAAGGAACCTTGCTTTGTTCACTGCTCTGTTTCCCAGAGCCTGGAACAGTGCCCGGCAGTTAGTAGGCACTCAATAAATATTTGTTGAATGAATGCATATACTCAGGAAGTGCTAGTTTGTCATAGTCCTACAGTGAAGACTTCCTCTTTTAACAAAAATAACATCCATTTCAACTTTTAATTTTCATCGCTAGGTTTTTATTAAAGCACATTAAAAATGATATTTAAGCCGAAACTGGTTTGGCTCGATAGAGCATCGGCCTGCGGACTGAAGGGTCCCGGGTTCGATTCCGGCCAAGGGCATGTACCTTGGTTGCGGCCATATCCCCGGTGGGTATACAAGAGGCAGTGATCAATGTTTCTAACTCTCTATCCCTCTCTTCCTCTCTGTAAAAAATCAATAAAATATATTTTTAAAAATTTATATTTAAAATGAAAGTTTATTATTTCAGGGCTTTTATCTAGCTTCAAGATTTTGTAGATGAATTTTACCTATAGTTGAGCTTAAGGCTAACTTAGTTTAAATTCCACATATTTCTGTTTATCTTCATACCTATATTTAAAAATCAAATTAAAGCATTGCTAAGAAGGAAACATCGATTTATGGAAAATAATTGCTCAGAAGTAGGACTTCTTCTTACTTTTATTTCTCTCAATTATAGGTGAAGTGTTTGACTATTTGGTTGCACATGGAAGAATGAAGGAAAAAGAAGCAAGAGCTAAATTTAGACAGGTATGAATTAACGTACCTTTAGTTTATTAATTTGATAAAGTAATCTCAATTAAACCCAAAAAACGAACAGGTGTGTGCACATATAAATGTTATAGGCCCGTCGGATGGAGCAGGGGTTGGCCATTCGGTTCAACAAAAATTTATTAAGTGCCTTTTGTGTCTAAGGCACTTCTTTAGAGATAGCCTTGGTTTCTGTTTCTGGCTTTATTATTGGGATTTTAGCTCAGGGGTTTTTTTTGTTTGTTTGTTTTATTTGTTTTTTAATACATTTTTATTGATTTCAGAGAGGAAGAGAGAGAGAGAAACATCAATGATGAGAGAGAATCATCAGTTAGCTGCCTTCTGCACGTCCCACACTGGGGATCGAGCAGGCAACCAGGGCATGGCCCTGACTGGGACTCGAACCGTGACCTCCTCCTTGGTCATAAGTTGATGCTCAACCACTGAGCCACGGCAGCGGAGTTAGCCTCACTCTTTTTTTTTTTTTTTTTTTCTTTTTTTTAAAATATATTTTATTGATTTTGTACAGAGAGGAAGGGAGAGAGAGAGTTAGAAACATCGATGAGAGAGAGTCATCAATCAGTTGCCTCTTGCACACCCCCTACTGGGGATATGCCTGAAACCAAGGTACATGCCCTTGACCGGAATCAAACCCGGGACCCTTCAGTCCGCAGGCCGACGCTCTATCCACTGAGCCAAACCAGTTTCGGCTAGCCTCACTCTTAACTTTAGTTTTTAACATTGGATCCTTAAAAACCAGTCTTTCATAATATCTATGATTAAAACTATTTCCAGGTTTTTAACAATAATAATTACCACTTATTGATTGATCACTACCTGCCAGACATGGGAATAAGTGCTTTACCTGTGTTAACGTAACCCTGCAGTCTTGTGAGTTAAGGAATATTACGCTCATTTCCTAGAAACAAGGAAACTGAAGCACCGGCAATTAAATAATTCGCCCAAAATTTGATGCCTTGTCCTGTGACATCAAAACTCAGAAAAACGTTTCCTCATTATGCCGGGTTGTTATTAGCCTGGGGATGAGCACGCGTGTTGAGTAGAGGGCTTTATAGGAGATAGTCCAGGCTCCGTGGCCACACCGGCTCTGCGGTGGCAGTGTCCTCGGAAGTGGCAGCACTGACACAGCGTTAGACAGTATGTGAATGTGGCTCCCACGATTGTTTCCAGCAAAGCTCTGTACCACAACGAGTGGTGGCGGCCTGGCCCCCCGGAGCAGGGGAAGGGGAGGAAGGGAAGGACTGGGCACCTCATGCTTTCACCGGGGCTGTCCTCCACGGCTGCCAGAGCAGCCTCATTTCTCCCAGAACTTCGCAATTTTTATTTTATTCACATTTAGATAGGAGCCTTTAAAGTTTTTACAGTATTTGGAAAGGCAGTTTTAGCTGGTTTTCAAGATTTCTCATAACATTTGCCTTTCTTAATTTGTTTAGTGTTTATGATTAAGGATTTATTTAAAAATTTAATTTTAAAAACTTAAAAATATTAATGGTACTTGGAATTGAAACCTATTAAATAGCAAAGTTTAAACTAATTTTGGTCTATCATTTTACTTCTCTGAGCCTCAGTTTTTCTGTTTATAAAAAGTGGAAATTGCCTGGCGAGTGGGGCATCGACCCACGAACCAGGAGGTCACTGTTTGGTTTCCACTTGGGGCACGTGTCCAGCTTGCGGGCTCGATCCCCAGTGGAGGGGTGCAGGAGGCAGCCAATCAGTGATTCATCATTGATGCTTCTATCTCTCTCTCCCGTCATCTCTGAAATCAATAAATACATTTAAAACTTTTTTTTTGGGGGGGGGAAGGGGGGAGGAAGTTATACTGGTTGAATTCTGAAGTTATTTTCAGTTCTGTTATTTTATTCTGTTGCCTATGGAAAGAAACTCCAATTTCTCTTTATTGCAGAACAAGTCTGGCCATTTTCACAGCTGTACTAAATTTTATAAATTGGCCACCTAAACACCATTATTGTTTTTGTCTCATAAAATTGACATTCTTTCCTACTTGGAATGGCTGTGGGTTACCAACTGAAGAAAAGCCAGCAGCCAGAGCCTGGGGCCGCCCTCGGGGCCTTTGGCACTCTCCCCTAACCCTGCCCTCTCCGCCCTCCTCTGGGGGCCAGGCTTGTCCAGGGACTTGGGCATTCCCCGGGGTGATTTTTCCTTTTCCTCAGGAATTCTGAGTCTGTATTTGAGGGACCTTCATTGGTCTAATGTCATGAGCAAGGGAGCGTCCCCAAAACGTACAGGTGTGTCTTCCCACTGCGCCAGGTGTGTGAGGGGCCTCCCCAGGAAGCCCGGGAACCCCAGCAGGCTACAGAGAGGAGGGAGGAGATGGAAGCGAGCAGAGCAGGCGGCCAGCCGGCGGTCTGGCCCTGGGCGCCCACAGGGGCGCAGGCGGGTGTCGGTCTCACCGCACTGCGGGCAGCAGCGGCAACGGGCTCTGGGCTTCACTCGCACAGCCGAGCTCTGAGTTGTTACAGCCCCAGGGGCTGTGGGTATGGATGGGGTCCTGAGCCACGTGCCCCGACTCTGGGTGTGGGCATTCCCGTCACATCCCACTGCCTCAGCCGTGACTTAGCACTGGTCTGACTGTCATGGCCGCAGGGCTCCCTGCTGGATTGTCGACAGGGTCCAAAGGCCCGCGCTGCTCTTGCTCTGTGCATCCAGGAAGGGAACGTCTGTGCTGTGACAATGTGCGCCTTGAGTTCGGCACGTGGAGGGGTGCAGTCCTGGCGCCCAGTTCCCGGAGGCCGCTATGCCAGCCTGGAAGGGCCTCCATGGCGAAGTCTCCTACCTCTGTGTGTCATTGCCACGCTTCCCGCCTGTGATGGTTGGCATCACTTTGACTAGAAAAGGTTTCCTGTTTATGACAAAGTGAAGGGTATGCCGCCCACAAAGCAAACAGCCAGCCCTTGTTCCGTATTCCCAGCACATGGCCTCCCTCCCCACGCCCTCCCCACGCTCACCTGCCTCCCCCTTATGCTGCTCTTGTTCTTGACAAAGAAAGAGACTCGATTCCTGGCTCCACCGCCTCCCCTCGCCCTGATGGTGGTGCGTGCTGCTCCAGCAGGTGGGATTAGAGAGGAAGCAGGTGTGCACTCCCCTTCCAGCCTGGAGAGCATCCAGGTCCTCAGCCTTTGGAGTGACTGCTTCTAGCTTAAAAGCAGAAGGCAAAAACCAACCATTTATTTGGTGTTTTCAGGTTATTGTGCATTATTTTAGCTTTGAGCTCATTGGACGTAAAAGAAGAAAATTCTTTAATCTCTGAGAGAAAGCAGAGGAAATAGTGAAATCTGATTCAAAAGCAGACCTCAGAGAGAAATGTCAGTATCGGGGAACTGGATCAGGCAGAAATCAGATGAAAGGTACCTGTGTCCTGGGAAAGGAGCTGTTACGTTCTGGGAAAACAACACTCTTTCGCTTCCCCGGGTTTCCCGCTGACACAGTAGAGACAGCGTTTCCGTTTCCGAAGTGTCCGCTGCTCCAAACCCCACGCTGGCGCGGGAGCCTCAGTGCCTGTGGGTGAGGAGGGCTGAGCTGAATCTCCCTTCACTGCAGCCCCGCCCTGCCTGTGCTCATGCTGAGCCGCAGAACCAGCGGATGGAGCAGCCCTCGAGGTGCTTATGTCCAGTGTAGGTGGGTGCGTGTGGCTTACAATTCAGATTTGATAATGATTGGGAGAAATAAGTGGTATTTTCTTTTTAACCCCTGTTTTGTTTACATAAGCCAAATATTTAACCAAAAGAACAGGAGATGGTCTCTCTCTCTCTGGTGGTAGGAGAGGCATATACAGGACAGGGCCAAAGCAGTGTTGTAGTTGTGAGTACGTGAGACAGTGTATTCTTATATTTATTAATTATTGCATTATTTTACATATTTGTATAAACTTTTCTATACTTCAGTCTATAATGAGCATATAGACTTTTATCATTAGAAAAGGAGACTTTTGAAAGTAAGTGTGGAATTTTAGCAAAACAGTTGATGACAGTTCAGTCACAGACTCAGGACAAGCTTCCTGGAAGCACAGAATCTGCTGAGAGCAGGAGGTCCTACTGAGGCAGCAGCGAAGGTTCCATGGACCGTGGTACACATGCGTCCCCTCTTCTACTTTACCGCAGAGGAGACGGTCTTTCGAGGAGGGAAGTAGCTTTTGCTGTGCTTGCACCCACACAGACAAAGGAGAGAGGTGGGGAGCAGAGGGCTGGGAAGGAAGGTGATACCAGGAGAGCCAGCCTGGAGGATGCCGGCTATGAGGGTCTGGGTGCCAGGTGGCTGGGAGCAGTTACAGGATGAGCTAAGGTTGCCCCTGAGACAGCTGGGCCTGGGGCAGCCAGAGCCCCTCAGACCCTGGTGGTTTGTTGGCTCAGGAACCACACAGAAGTGCTGGCATGTCGAGGGGGAGGGCCCCAGAAGAGGCAGAGTTTCCACTTAATGGAGAGAGAGCAGGAAGGACGTCGGCACCATCTCTTCTTGCCTCACTCCTGAGCTTCTTCAGATTAGAAAGTTCAGAGCAGGAGGAAATCCCATTTAGAGGTCCATGCAGACAGTCAGGACTCCCTGAGGAAATCCCATTTAGAGGTCCATGCAGACAGTCAGGACTCCCTGAGTATCCGGCCTGTGTGGCACCGGTGACGGACCGTCATCTGAATACGAACCTGCCCCGGGAGGATTGCTGACGTGCCTCTCTCCTGTCCAGATCGTGTCTGCCGTGCAGTACTGCCACCAGAAGCGGATCGTTCACAGGGACCTCAAGGTGAGTCCGGCCCGCAGAGGGCGCTCTGTCTGTGCAGCCGTGGCCACGAGGACAAAATAAATCTGTAATTGAGTCCTCTGAGGCAGTGACAGTAAACAGCGCTAAGAAGGCAGAAAAATGAGTTTGCCAGAAGTATTTTACCTCGCAGTTAAAGGAGGTTGTAGTTGGTGTGGAGAAAAGCCATCACACCAGCAAACTGCCCAGCGCTCCGGACGTGCACCCGCACTGGGCAGACAGAGGCCCTGGAGCCTGGCCGTGCCTGCTGCTCTTCTTCGCCGTCCTCCCCTGCCCTCGTCTTCCCTCTGCCCTCGCTTCTGCGGAGGATCAGGTTCCTGTTTCACAGGGAAATAGAAATGTTCAGCAGAAACTCCCTCCCTCTCCCAACAGGCCTCACTTAGCTGCACCCGCACCCACCCTCCCCCTCACAGCTGCCCTCTTGCTACAGAGCAGGGCGCCTCTCCTGGCTCCGCGTTCCGTCTCCCCAGGCCCGGCTGCCTTCCAGCTGCTGCCTCCTGTCTCCTCCCTCTCAGCTGCCTTCTCACCGGCAGCGTTTACGAAAGCTTGCTCAAGGCTGAGCCACCCTTTACCAAAACACTTCCGCCCCACTTCCCTTCTAGAATTCCTTTTGTCTTCTCCCCGGCACAGCCATGTTTCTCCAAACACTATCTGTACTCTGTCTTAGCTGTCCCCACGTCCTCTCACCTCACAGACTTGTCGCCCCTCACCGCATTCAGGGGCTGCTCGTGTGGGTGACCCGCTCCATCCCCAGCCAGAGCCCCTCCCACCGCTCTCCAGCTACTAAAGGACCCGCCACCTACTGGGCTCAGCAAGCTCACGCACTACAGGTCTTCCTCCTATTTCTTATCCAGGTGCCCTCGCCTTCACTCTAGCCCAGTGGTCGGCAAACTGCGGCTTGTGAGCCGTGGTTTGCTGCTCTGTTGGCTAATAAGTTTGCCAACCACTGCTCTAGCCTCACTCGGTCCCAGGTCCTTTAGCTCCTGTTCCCTACATATGTCCTGACCGCAGTCCTTCCTGTGTCTCCCCCTGTCCTGGCTCAGACCGCCAGGGTCTTGGACTTGCCTAGTCTTCCCTGCTTCCAGTGCCCACCGTCTCCTTCCCTCCCTCCCACTCCCCACACTGCAGCCAGAGGACTCTTTTTTAGACACAGGAAGATCCTTGTTGACCCCTAGACCACACCTCAGCACTCCCACTGCCTGAGGTTGAAAGCCCGAACTCTGACTCCTAGGCCCTTTGTGACTCAGCCACCAAGTCCCCGCCACCCTCTGCCTCTCCACACTCCATTTCTGGCCAGACGTTCTCTCGCCCTGCTCTCCTCCTGTGTCGCAGCACTTAGGGCGAGAGTGTCCACTTACTCTCTGCTTCTCCCTCTAAACTCGGAGCTTCCTGAGACAGAGGCCCTTGTTTATGGTCAGATTCCCAGACACTGACATAGCGCCTGGTGTGTAATTGTAAATGGGAAATGCTTGTTGAAATCATAGTCACTATGATCTGATTTATTTTTTAATATATTTTATTGATTTTTCACAGAGAGGAAGGGAGAGGGATTGAGAGCTAAAAACATCAATGAGAGAGATACATCAACAAGCTGCCTCCTACGCACCCCCCACTGGGGATGTGCCCACAACCAATGTACATGCCCTTGACTGGAATCGAACCTGGGACCTTCCAGTCCACAGACCGACGTTCTATCCACTAAGCCAAACCGGTTTAGGCTGTGATCTGATTCTTGAGTGAGGTTTACAAATCTCCCTCCCCCCAATCATTGCCATTATATAGGCATTTAGTGGTTTTATGAAAGGTGGCTGTCCACATAAAGCTAGTATTCCTTCTTTTACAAGTCTATCAGACTTAATTAAAAGGACTATTTATTGCCAAAACCGGTTTGGTTCAGTGGATAGAACATCAGCCTGCAGACTGAAGGGTCTCAGGTTCGATTCTGGTCAAGGGCATGTACATTGGTTGCGAGCACATCCCCAGTGACGGTGGTGCAGGAGGCAGCTGCTTAATGTTTCTCTCTCATCGACATTTCTAGCTCTCTATCCTTCTCCCTTTCTCTCTGTAAAAAATCAATAAAATATATATATATTTTTAAAGGACTATTAAAAGTTTGTGTGGGGGTTTTTTTATCATGGAGAATTCATTTAAATTATTGCTAGAATTAATTTATATCTTGTTCTCTTATTGGTTCTTAATGTTAAATTAGAAATTCTGATTTACCTCCTTTTTTCGTGGAGTGTTTTCTCATCTTATTCATTAAGATGTATTAACTTACATCATTACAAAAGGCTTTTATGAAATGCCTAATTCTATCATAGTTCTAAGTATATGTTGGTTAAATTTTATTTTTGTCTTGATGTTTTCCCTCTAGGCTGAAAATCTATTGTTAGATGCTGATATGAACATTAAAATAGCTGACTTTGGTTTTAGCAATGAATTTACTGTTGGCAGTAAACTGGATACGTTTTGTGGGAGTCCTCCATATGCAGCCCCAGAGCTCTTCCAGGGCAAGAAATACGACGGGCCAGAAGTGGACGTGTGGAGCCTCGGCGTCATTCTGTACACGCTGGTCAGCGGGTCGCTCCCCTTCGACGGACAGAACCTAAAGGTAGCGCAGCCGTTGCAGCCGGTTTTGTGAAAGCGGGAAGGGTTGTGCAGTGATGGCTGTTACTGTTTGCAGTGTTTTGTGAGGATGGAGTCAGGGGGTTTTTTTAAGCCTCAAACCTGACTCACTAGTTTTCTTTCCTCTCTTCTTCCCAAAGGAACTGAGAGAGAGAGTGTTAAGAGGGAAGTACAGAATCCCTTTCTACATGTCTACAGACTGTGAAAACCTTCTCAAGCGTTTCCTGGTGCTCAATCCAATAAAGCGCGGCACTCTGGAGGTAATCCCATCACACCGGGGGAAATGAGTAACCTTGGAGTCTCTGTAAAGTGTCTTTAGAACTGGGCTTGGAAGCTGTGTTGAAAACTGTGCTAGAGCTTTTAAAGCAGGAATTGAGACATTTAAAACTTTTTTAAAGTTACCCTTTAAATGAGCTATCATCAATGAAATGTTGAACGTAAATTTTTCTACATATTGTGGTTATCAGAATGTTTTCTTTTCTGCTACTAATAAGCAGTTCTCCTTTCAGCAAATCATGAAGGACAGGTGGATCAACGCAGGGCACGAGGAGGATGAACTGAAACCATTTGTGGAACCAGAACTAGACATCTCAGACCAGAAAAGAATAGGTAATGGCCCTGTGCTGCGGGCTTGTGTGTGCACAGTACCATTCCTGTTTGACTCACACGCCTACAGGGAAAATGATGGGCGGTTAAGTACCGGTCAGTGAGTCAGCTGATCTGCTGCTTCATGTTGAAGCAGTTTTCTGTTGTTTCCTATAATAGCGCTTAGTAACTCAGAAATAAGCCAACTGCCCATTAAATGTGTGGTCTTTTGGATCAAATAAAGGAAATTAGTTTACCTTAATAACACAATGGTTTTTTATCCAACAAGACGCACAAATATATTATGCCTTTTTTTTTTTTATAGATATTATGGTGGGAATGGGATATTCACAAGAAGAAATTCAAGAATCTCTTAGTAAAATGAAATACGATGAAATCACAGCTACATATTTGTTGTTGGGGAGAAAATCTTCAGAGGTAAGAATAATCAGAGAAAAAAATTAAACTATCCTTTAAATTACCAGGTTATGTAAATTGTTTTCTTAGTTTTTATTTTTTTAATACCTATAACACTTGGTATGGCATTTTTAGTTTACCTGCAAGTAAATAACTTTTCTGACCTATATGAGTTATTGTTTTAACTCAATAAGACAATAACCTTACTTTCAGAGGGCAGCCACAGAGCCTGTGAAGCCGGCCCAGGAGCCAGAGCTGTCACATCTCTTTTTCTACTTCCCGTTGCAACCAGTAAAGGCTGTTTATAGTGTTAAAAATAAAAATAATGATCACCTTAATGGTGATATTGTCACAAAGTTGGCTTTCATAAGCTAACCTATAGCTATTTGTGTTTAGAAATGATATAAAGTATCAGATGAAGCATTTTAAGTTATTTCAAAAAGCCTAGAAAGCTGATAAACACTCCTGTCCTTTGGTGAGTTTTCCGGCAGCCAGAACCACGCTGTCGCCGGAGATGAGGGCTCCCATCTTCGTACGTTTGCTGCTTCTCTCGGTGAGAGGTTTGTGTGTTTTGAGTTTACTTTGCTAATCAACCACCTGGGTTTGTGTGTGGTTTGCTGTTTTTCTCCTTTTCTCTTAGCTCGATGCTAGTGACTCCAGTTCCAGCAGCAACCTCTCACTTGCCAAGGTCCGGCCGAGCAGTGACCTCAACAACAGCACTGGCCAGTCTCCTCACCACAAGGTGCAGCGGAGTGTTTCCTCCAGCCAGAAGCAGCGGCGCTACAGCGACCATGGTGAGCTGGGGCCGTCCCCCGGGCCCCGCTGTGCAGGACTCCTAGGGGTGCGTTGGGCCTGATATCTACCCTCCGCCAGGCGCTGGCATGGTGCATTCTCCCTGGTACATTCCAGGACTTTTTTTTTGTCCTCACCCAAGGTTATTTTTCCATTGATTTCTTTTAAATATATTTGTATTGACTTCAGAGAGGAAGGGAGAGGGAGAAAGCAATAGAAACATGAATGACGAGAGAAATCATTGATTGGCTGCCTCCTGCATGCCCCTTTCCCAGGGTTTGAGCTCGAAACCTGTCATGTGCCCTTGGCTGGAAACGAACCTGGGACCCTTCAGTCCTCAGGCCTGTGCTCTATCCACTGAGATAAACCAGCTGGGGCTTCCCATTGATTTTTAGAGAGTGGAAGGAAGGGGGAGAAAGAGATTTAAAAAAAAAATGATGTGCGAGAGACACATCAATTGGTTGGCTCTTGCAAATGCCCCGACATGGGGCTGAGGATTGAGCTTGCAACCAAGGTATGTGCCCTTGATGGAACCGAGTCCATGGCCTTACAGTCCAAGGGAGGATGCTCCATACACTGAGCCAAACCGGCCAAGGTCATCCTATGACTTTTGATGGATAAGGCCCAGCTGGGTGGAAACCTTACAACTTGCCCACTGGGAGCCCTGCTACAGCCTCTAGTTCTGTTCATTCTCTCCCTCTCTGCTCTCTAGCTAACTTTCCTCCAGTGCTGAGCTGTTCTGTCTGTGCCATCCAGTAGAGTAGCTACTAGCCACATGTGGCTGTTGGCACTTAAACTGGGGAAATTATTTTCAACTTTGTTAAATAATTAAATTTATATAGCCACATATGGCCAGTGGCTCATATGGGACAGCGCAGCCCTGAAGAATATTTGATACCCCAGTTTTTTCTTAAGTGTTTTAAAGTTTGTGTGTTTGCTTTATGTTGTTGTTTTTTTGTGTTTATTTTTATTAATTTCAGAGAGGAAGGGAGAAGGAGAGATAGAAACATCAGCAATGCGAGAGAATCATTGATTGGCTGCCTCCTGAACACCTCGCACTGGGGATCAAGCCAGCAACCTGGGCATGTGCCCTGACCAGGAATCAAACTGACCTCCTACTTCATAGGTCGAGACTCAACCACTGAGTCAAGACGTCCAGGCTAAATGCCCTCACTCTTAAAACTTTCACCATAGAAGCAAATTCTTTATGAGACTTAGGATCCTCAAGGGTATGCTACCAAAATTGACAGTTCACCCTCAAGGCAGTCCCAGATGTTGAAATCCAGAGACTGTTACGTGCGTGCGTGTTTATGTTGCAGGTAATTTCTTTACATCCAGTATTCTAGGATTCAGGAACCAACTCTATGTTGGCCTGGTCCTAACTTTTAAAAATATACTCTCGCTGAAACCAGTTTGGCTCAGTGGATAGAGCGTCGTCCTGCGGACTGAAGGGTCTTGGGTTTGATTCCGGTCAAGGGCATGTACCTTGGTTGTGGGCACACCCCGGTAGGGGGTGTACAGGAGGCAGATGATAGATATTTCTCTCTCATCGATGTTTCTAGCTCTCTGTCCCTCTCCCTTCCTCTCTGTAAAAAATCAATAAAATATATTTTAAAAATTAAATTAAAAAATAAATAAAAATACACTGTCATATGGAACATTTCATTTATTTCTTGTCCAGTTCATTTCCCCACTCTGGACATTGTCCACTCCACGTTTCAGCTTGAGAGCCTGCACTGAGAACTGCACAGAGCGATTGGGTGTGGACAGCTTTGGCTTTGTACCAGAAGTGAGGATGCCTTGCTCATCTTCCATTTCTTTTTGCTGGTGCATTGTGTAGGCTGAAGCGGCACACGGTGCTGACACTCAGCAAACTGCCTGTGTGTCTGCTGTTGGAGGGTCTGACATTTAAGAGTGAACTCTTTTATTGCAGCTGGACCAGCTCTCCCTTCCGTTGTGGCATATCCGAAAAGAAGTCAGACCAGCACTGCCGATGGGGACCTCAAAGCAGACGGCGCTCCCTCCAGGAGGGCAGGCGGCAGTGCGGGCGGAGGCAAGGGCATGGCTCCAGCCAGTCCCATGCTTGGGAATGCGAGCAATCCCAACAAGGCGGACATTCCTGAACGCAAGACCGGCTCCACTGTCCCCAGCGTAAGTGCTGCTGCCCTCCAGCGCCCCGGGGGTTGGCGAGTGAAATGCCCTCGCTGGGTGAGCAGCAGACCCCCTGCCACAGCTCTCTCTGGTTATCCCGTAAACATGTGAGGGTGTGAGGCTGTGTGAGAGGTGAGAAGCGGGAAGATCTCAGAGTCTCACAGGAGAGGAAACCAAATGATGGCCGAGCAGACAGGGGATCTCAGTGCACTGGGGCTCGGACTGCCTGTGGGCCAGGGCGGGGTGCACTGCAGTTTCAGAGTTCATTCCCATAAAGAACTTGGACTGCTTCCTTACTGTGTGCGAGTGTCAGCTAAATTTTAAAGCGAAGAAAAGCCAGGTAAAGGCCTAAAATTACTCTGCTGACCTAAATCTACCTCTCAGTCTCTGCCCTTAATAAAATCTCACCAGCGAGCAAGTAGTATTTATTAAGTGTAACGGAATCTACTCAGCGTCAGAAACGTCCCCATCAGTTCTCATGTGTCTGTGTGACCCAGCATAGGGATTACCTTTAGCACTCTGAGGGAATTTTAGGGAGAAGTCAGCGAGAATGAACAGTGCTAAGGGTGTTCTGTGACCGCACTTCTCTACAAACTGAACCGTGCACAGCTCTCATCCCCCTGAGAGCCCTGCAGGGCGGCAGGGGGGCCTGCTGCTCCCCAGGGGTCTGCCTCCCGGGGTAGGAGGCCCATAAAGGAGCCCGGAGGGTTCTGTGTGCCGTCCTCTGGTCTTAGCTTCATCCCAGAAAACCTTGTCGCCATAACATCGCTGTCACTCCGGCCCTGCCGTTTAAATTCAGCCTCCAGCTGGAGGTGGCATTTTCCAGAGGAAATAACGCTGTGTCCCTATCACCCTGCCCGACTGCGCACCGCCATTTGGGAATAGGTCCAAGCACTATCCGTCACCTCCATTTGATTTCCATTAGTCTGTGGAGTTTGCTGTGCATGGTCTGCTCAGCTGTATTAAAGGTGCCTATTTTTATCTTTTTTTTTTTTCCATTTTTAACCCTCACCTGAGGATAAGTTTTTAATTGACCTTTAGAGAGCAAGAAAGAGAGAGAGAGAGAGAAACACATTGGGGTGAGAGAGAAACAGGATCAGTTGATTCCTGTACGTGCTCCAACAGGGAATCAAACCTACAACCTGAGTATGTGCCCTGACCGGTAATCGAACCACCAACCTTTTGGTGCACCAGACGACGCTCCAGCTGACTGAGCCACCTGGCCAGTGTTTATCTTTGTTCAAAATTTGTCTTCTCTGGTGACATTTCTTAGATATAACTTTAATTCTTTGCTTTTTTATTTTGGAAGTCTGAGCTTTAAAAAATGGACGTGAAATTAAGGTGCCATCATTAACCATTTTAAATGTCGGGTTCAGTGTCATCTGGACGTTCACAGTGTGGGACAGCCTCCACCGCTCTCCTCCCAAGACTTCCCTCACAGCAGGGCAGCCGCGTGCAGCGCCCTTCCACTCTCCTCTCGTCCCTGCCACTTGCTCTCCCGTGGAGTGGCCTGTTCGGGACATTTCCTGTAATTGGACCCCGACCATATGCATCCTCTGGGCCTGGCTTCTCTCGCTTGGCATCACGTTTTCAGAGTTCAGGCTCATGGCCTCGCTGTTTCCACAGTGGCTGCGCATTTTGCATCCCGTCATAATGAGCACTCCTGCTTCTCCACAGTCTTGCCAACACCTCTTTCCATTGTTTTCTGGCTGTCCTAATGGGTGTGAGTCTGCAGTTTTGATTTACATTTCCTTAGTGACCAGTGTGTGGCATCTTTTCATGTGCTGTTGGGCATTTATTTGCATGCCTTCTTTAGAGCAATATTATCCAAGTCCCTTGCCCATTTCTAAATTGTTTGAGTTTAAGAGTTCTGGAAATCAAACTCGCAATTTTTTGGTGTGCAGGACAATGCTCCAACCAACCGAGTACCCAGCCAAGGCTAGTTTTAGAGTTTTAACTCATATTTACATCTTGACTTTTATTTGTACACTTACCTTACACTTATAGTACTTGCTTTTTAATTTTTATTTTGAGATGATTAGCTTTTAAAACACTGGATCTCTATCTTGCTTTTTAGTAATTCGTGAGTTATTGCTAACGGGTTCCGGCAGCCAGCTTTTCACAATCTGTCTCCTTGCCTCTCCCTCCTTTCTGCCAGGAGGGGGGTGTGCCTTCTCTCCGGGCCAGTCTTTTTGCCAGTGCTGCTGACATTTTTGTGTAGGTTTCATTAAAGACTGGGACTCATGTCTATGTAGGAGAGGTGTTTTTCTTGCTCAGTGCACTGTGCTCAATCATTAAATAGTTCAAGACAGAAATGCCTCCCCTTTTTTAACAGAGTAACACAGCGTCTGGCGGAATGACACGACGAAATACTTACGTTTGCAGTGAAAGAACTGCAGCTGACAGACATTCAGTGATTCAGAATGGCAAAGAAAACAGGTAGGAAATTTTACCTGTTTGCAAGAAGTTTATTTTATAATCAGAATTCAAATAATAATGGGAAGTATTCTCTAGCAGTGAGTTAGGTTTGGATGTGAATTTTTAGCAAGATACTGAATTCCAAATTCCTCTCACTGTCTAGAACTTATCCTCCCGGCCAACTTATGTGATAACTAAAAGGGTTAAATTAAACCAGGAGCTTTTCCAGAGGGGGTAGGTGGTAACTTCGGCTTAATTGTGGAATAGGGAAATCAAGGTTACTTTGTGCACATGAGGAACTTGATCAAGGCTGAAAGGGGGAGAGATAAGGAGCCATGCTTTGAAGAATGTGGATCACAAGGTCGGGACAGGGAGGGTGGGGGGCCTTCAGTTTGCCAAAGGGGCCGGGGGACCAGTATTTCCAGTCTCGCAGAGTGATGGAGTGTGCGGTCTTGAGTGACTGATCTGGTGGAGAGGCGAGCATCCGTAGCACCAGCATGATTTAAAATACTGACAGTAACCTGTCAGTGAGGAGAGGGGTCATGCCGCTTTCTTGGGAAAGTGAGAGGAAGTGGGTCCAGAGACCTTGGGGGAGAGGAGAAGATGGGATGGTAGAACACTGTCCCTGGGCTGGCTGGATTTACTTTTTTGGAAGTATGGTGTATAAACTAAATCCAGTGTGGTGAGCAGGTAAGGTTTTGGATAGAGATCTAGAAAATTATCCACATCATCTGTCATTGACCTCTGACCTCTTCTCTTGAACACTATTTGGTGATGTCACATGCCCATGTCCAGCATCAAAATTGGTTGTTCTTTTTTTCTGCCGTCTACTTTCTGAAGTGCTACTGTAAGCTTTGTTTCCTTTAGGGCTCAATAGTCACATGAAATGTTTGATCACTAACTTCTGTGACAGCCTAAGCAAAGATTCCCCTTCCTTCCTTCATCCTTAAGACCAGAATATAGTGTTTATCACTCCTTCTTCCATAGACCACTTAAATTTGATATGAAGGTAAAAGCTTATGTAAGGTTATGTGATTATTCATTGAATTTTTTTTCTTTTTTCTTTTTTTCATCCTCATCTGAGGATATTATTTCTATAGCTTTTTTGAGAGAATTAAAGGGAGGAAAGGCAGTGGCAGTGGGCGGGGGTGGGGAGGTTTGGGGGGGTTGGGAGAGAGGAAGATGCAGAGAGAGAGAGAGAGAGGAGAGAAAGGAGAAAGAAAGAAACATCACTGTGAGAGAGACATTGATTGGTTGCTTCCCAACTGCACCCTGATTGGGGCAGGGAATGGAACCTGCAAGTGAGGTCCATACCCCTGGCTGCGGATCAAACCTGCGACCCTTTGATTTTAGGGCCAGTGCTTTAACCATTGAGCCAAACATGCCAGGGCAATTATTCATGGAATTTCTAGAAATATTTACACTCCACTATTCTCTTTTCTGGTTCCTAGGTCTGTGCTTGTTTTAACATTGCTCTTATGATTAAAAACTTTTAATAACTTGTATAGCAACTGGGCTAGATAGCTTGTAAATACTAGTTGATATATTTTTAATAGTAGTCTGTGCTGATAAATTTTATTAGTTATATTCTCAAATCTATAAATTTCTCCTAGTTCAAAGTGATTTAATAGAGATATCAATAGACGACTTAATTAGACAGAAGTTTCTCATGTTAGGGATTTTAGTCTGTAGAATTACGAAAAGTGGTTTCCTGGCCCTTCTTCCTCTTCCCATGAGTTCTCAATTGTTGAGCTGTTTATCAGTTTCGTTTTGAACTTTAGAATGTACAGTTCTCTGAGGTACAGCCAGGCTTTTTTTTAAAAAATATATATTTTCATTGACTTCAGAGAGGAAGAGAGAGAAACGTCAGTGATGAGAGAGAATCATTGACCGGCTACCTCCTGCACGCCCCCTACTGGGGATTAAGCCCGCAACCTGGGCATGTGCCCTTCCCGGGAATCACCTTCTTCCTTCATACGTTGACGCTCAACCACTGAGCTATACTGGCCCGGGCAGTCAGACTATTTAAGAGGCTGTTAAGGTCAAGATCTATCTCTCTCTCCACTCTCCCCCCCCACACACACACACACACACACTTTATGTTTGTACACATGTTCTGCAACTTCCTCTTTTCCACATGGTTCAGTTCACTTTGGAGTCACTGCCTATCTGTTCTGCCTGCAGGTGCCCTCCTCAGTGGGGCTGACTCCATATCCTGATTGGGCCTCATTGCTTCTGGTAGCGTCAGTCATTACAACACTTTGCTTCTAAAAGTGTTGTCTTTATTCTTTGACCAAGCAGAGTGTCAGCGCCAAACCATACAAGCCAGGGCCCATACTTTTAGAGTAATATCTGGATGTTCTTTTCCTTGACCAAACCCTGTTGAGCTGCAGAGCACCTGCCATGCTACCTTCTGAAAGGACCTAAGTTCTGTTTTCAGCCTTGAATATATTGGACTTCTTCTTACACATGTGAATGTCTATACAGAATTCCAGCATGAGAGTGATCATGGCTGATGAACACTCTGTGGGAGATTAGACCAAAGGCTGTCCACATGGCTCAGACAAGCTCTTCTGCTCTCCTCAGCACTCCGCGGTGAGCACGGGATGCTCCGGGCTTAAAGCCTCACCAAGCAGTACCATATATTTTAATATCGTTTCTTCATTTTAAAGTTAATTTTCTTAAATATATTTTATTGATTTTTTTTTTACAGAGAGATAGAGAGCTAGAAGCATCGATGAGAGAGAAACATCACTCAGCTGCCTCCTGCACACTCCCCACTGGGGATGTGCCTGCAACCAAGGTACATGCCCTTAACCGGAATCGAACCAGGGACCTTTCAATCCGCAGGCTGACGCTCTATCCACTGAGCCAAACCTAAAGTTAACTTTACTCATTGATTTTTAATAGTGCAGTCTTTCTGTTTTATCAGCTTTACTGTGTGAAAAGTAATGCCGGTCCTCGGTGTGTAGTGAGAAAAGGTATATAGTACATCTTGGTTTTGGCATGAGCCACATGAGGAATTTTCTAAGAAAGTAGTGGTGCTGACATCGACTGCTTTCGCTCTAACCCCGTTGTGGTTATTCCACCTTCACGTCAGTCTCAGAATGGCTCATCCAGCATGGACTAGCTGTCAGGGTAACCCGGGCCATCCAGCATGGACTAGCCGTCAGGGTAACCCGGGCCATCCAGCATGGACTAGCCGTCAGGGTAACCCGGGCCATCCAGCATGGACTAGCCGTCAGCGTAACCCGGGCCATCCAGCATGGACTAGCTGTCAGCGTAACCCGGGCCATCCAGCATGGACTAGCTGTCAGCGTAACCCGGGCCATCCAGCATGGACTAGCTGTCAGGGTAACCCGGGCGTGAGGAGGTAGTGTCACATCTCCATGTGTCATCATCCTGTGAGTGCCCTATAAATTGACTGTGGGCCTTTAGCCTCTTGGCACAGGCACTGACTCAGCATTCAGCAAATGCCAGCTTTTATTACTGACCATAAGTGTTCATTGGTACGTGGAGGGATTTTCTCATTCACACTGCCTGTGATCTCACTGAGTGATGTTGCTACCGACCACAGAATGTGAGCGCCACCTGCTTTTCCTGTACCTTTGGGCAGCTCCAGGACATGTTGAAAATGCTTTCATTTGAGAACCCCCATGAATTAGTGGGGTGTCATTCATTATAATATAACAGAACCTCTCCCGAGAAGCTGTAGGTATTGGACATCACAGGTAGACTTTACAGTTGGCAAAGCACTCTGGACTTAACCCATCTGTGCGTCTGTCTGCTGTCTCCTTACACCACGGGCTTTGTGCCAGGGCAGGCTTCCTCAGGCCCTTTCCCATTAACTTCCTCCTGCTCCAGTCCTGGGACACCCCTGGGGTCTGGTTTTATTAAAACTGACTTCTCCGCTTTAGGGCAAAGGAATATTGTGACTGTAAATTGTTGTGTGCCGTGTTTGCAAAAAGACAGGATTCGGTGAACAGAAGTATAAGACCTGTGTGTTTGCTGATCTCGCAGCGCTGGTCCTGACCAGAGAACTCCAGTCGCATCCACACACAGCATTAGCAGCGCGGCCACCCCGGACCGCATCCGCTTCCCCAGGGGCACTGCCAGCCGCAGCACTTTCCACGGCCAGCCCCGCGAGCGGCGGACTGCCACCTACAACGGCCCGCCCGCCTCGCCCAGCCTGTCCCACGAAGCCACGCCGCTGTCACAGGCCCGCAGCCGAGGCTCCGCGAACCTATTCAGTAAACTAACCTCAAAGCTCACAAGGAGGTAAGTGCCAGGTGGAGCTGGTTTGCAGCAAAACGAGACATGTCTTCTGTGTGTGTGTGAAGCCAGTCTGGCTGCTGGTCGTTGTCTTTAGCTCGTGTTTTCTGGCTTCTTCCTTTCACTAGACTTGGAAAGCTTTTAGAGGAGATCCCAGGAAACGCTGCCCAGCACTTGGGAGGTCGCAGCTCCTTTCTGTTCTTACATCATACTTTTTAAAAAATACCTTTTTATTGATTTCAGAGAGAGTGAGGGAGAGGGAAAGATAGAAACATCAATGATGAGAGTGAATCATCGATCGCCTGTTCCTGCACATCCCACACTGGGGATCCGAGCCCGCAACCTGGGGATCAAACTGACCTCCTGGTTCATAGGTCAACGCTCAGCCAACCGGCCCGGCTGCATGACACATTGTCCACATAGATGGTCACTTTGGTGGAGCAGAACCCCAGACCAGGGTGGCAGGGCTGGCACTCCGCGCGTGGTCACAGGACACCGTTCCTCTCCTTTCCCCGGCTGTCACCGGGAGCACTGAGTCCAGCCTTGCAGTCGTCGGGCTCAGTGAGAGAGCCTGACGTGGTGCAGCTGTGCAGGTAAACCTCTGGGTGTGCTCAGAGGGAAACTACCTGGCCGTGTGTCCAGGAGGCTGTCGTTCCGGGCCTTGGCACGTCTGCGGACCCCTTGAGGTATTGTGACTTACCTCCTCAGCTAGCTGTAGAGGCTGCAGGCGCCTGGACACAGCGGCTGCTGTTGGAGGAAAAGGGAAAGATGCTCCTTTGTATCACAAGCAAATAGGACAAGGCCCGTTAGCCAGGGCTCCCGGGCCTGAGCCCTGCTGTCCCGATGCCTGCATTCATGTGTCCGGGTCCTGCAGGCTCACCCGCTTCAGACCCTCCTGCTGGTCTGGCTGCTCAGACGGCAGCGTCTTCTCAGGCGCCTCCCCGGGCCTCTCCCTCCGGCCTGTTAGCGTGCTGCTCAGTTTTCATGGGGCCTTTGTGTTTAAGCTGTAAACTAAATACCACTTTTAAGTCTCCAGAGTTTTTATTTTAGATCAGTCATCTAAGTTAGACGGCTCACTCAAACTGTTTCCCCAGATGTGTTAGTGATGCGCACCAGAGAGGGGGCCTCCGGCATCAGGAGCACCGACTCTCAGAGCAGCCAGGTGCCCGCCGGCCTCACCTCTTCCGGCCCCTTTGCCGAGACGCGTGCTCCGGGCCGGGCAGGGCAGAAGTCCTTTGCCAGGACTCCAGTCCAGTCCAGGGCGAGTTTTTTGACCCCCCAGCATAATGCACTCCTCCCTTTCAGTGTCCCCCCAGGCCTCCCTGTCCCCACTCCCTCCTCAGAGACTGGGCTGGAATGGAATCTGCCCTGGAAGGCGGGCGGGAGGAGCCAGTGTCATTCACTTGGCCGTTTCCCCCTGGCCCTGCTGCCGGCTGGGCAGCCTGGGTTGCCCTGTGAGCACAGAGGGAGGGGCAGTGGTCGGCCAGGCTAAGCACTGGTCATTAGCAGACCAGTTCGCAGCCCTACACTTCAAAGATTGAAATCCTTGAATTTATTTAATTGTCTCCTCTCTGCTTTTTATTTTTTTTTTATATATATATTTTTTTATTGATTTTGTACAGAGAGGAAGGGAGAGAGATAGAGAGTTAGAAACATCGATGAGAGAGAGTCATCGATCAGCTGCCTCTTGAACACCCCCTACTGTGGATATGCCCGCAACCAAGGTACATGCCTTTGACCGGAATCAAACCCGGGTCCCTTCAGTCCCCAAGCCGACGCTCTATCCATTGAGCCAAACCGGTTTCGGCTATTTTATTTTTTGGAAAAAAAAATTTTTAAATATATTTTATTGATTTTTTACAGAGAGGAAGGGAGAGAGATAGAGAGCTAGAAACATAGATGAGAGAGAAGCATCGACCAGCTGCCTCTTGCACACCCCCTATTGGGGATGTGCCCGCAACCAACGTACATGCCCCTGACCGGAATCGAACCTGGGACCTTTCAGTCCGCAGACCAACACTCTACTGCTGAGCTAAACCGGTTTCAGCTCCTCTGTGCTTTTTAAAAAAATCATCTTAAGCCCCATGGCGTGGCTCAGTAGGGTTTTGGGCTTCATCCGAGTGTGGGAGGAGGGGGTGTAGGAGGCAGCCGATTGATGATTCTCTCTCATTATGAATGTTTTTATCTCCTTCTTCCTTCCTCTATGAAATCAATAAAAATATAATTTTAAAAATAGAAATCATCTTAATACATGTGCTATCATTGATAAAAAGAGTCATTTTGGACTGCTTGCTGTGCACTAAGATAAGTAGATGTCTGTAGAATTTCAGGTGTAGCTGTCCCCACTTTACACACACACAGTCTCCACCATCTGCCCCGTGAAGTAGGGAGCACTCAGTTGTATGGAAGAACCCGGAGGTGTGGGTGAGAGAGATGGACACATAGCTACGATCCCACAGCCAAGCAGTCCTGAGCCGTCGCTCTGCCCGAAAACGCCTGAAGGCACTGCACTGTGCTCCCTGAGGGGCGGCGCTGTGAGGGCTGTGGTTGGCAGGAGGCCTTCCCTCACTTCTAGCTACGTGGTTCAGGCATCTGAATCTGAATTGAGCTTGGAGGCTGAGGTTTCTTGTTTAAAAATTGTAGGGGGTCATCTTGTTTTACAGCGCCATCCCCACATTTCCCAGAAAGGTCATCGTCTTCTGTGTGCAAGTGTGCAGGCTGAGGTGTGAGTCTGCCTGGTGCTCCGGCAGATGTAGTCAGTTTATTCCTAAAGACAGTCAGTCCTTCTGCCGTAGTCCACTCAGTGTCTGGCCCTCCCCGACAGCCGCAGCACTGCAGTCAGGTGCCTCACAGGCTCCGGTGGGCACTTAGAATCCGCAGGAGACCTGCCTGGTGCGGTGGGCAAAGAGCAGGCACCGGAACCTACACCCGGTGCCCCAATAATCTGGAGTGTGGGTGGCTGCCCCAATGCCCTGGAGTGTGGGTGAGCTGCGGGCCCTGCCTCCTCTGAGGCCTGTGCCCAAAAGCAGTCCTAGGTCCGTGACCGATAATCTTGACTTTCCTCAGGTAGAAGACTCAGGAATGAAAACATATTTTAAAGACTTTTCATCAGTTTTCAGCTCAAACTGTTGAATAACACTGCCTTTATGTAGTACTTAATTACTTACAAAAAATTTTTTTAAATATATTTTATTGATTTTTTTACAGAGAGGAAGAGAGAGGGATAGAGAGTTAGAAACATCGATGAAAGAGAATCATCGATCAGCTGCCTCTTGCACACCCCTTGGGGATGTGACCCCAACCAAGGTACATGCCCCTGAGTGGAATCGAACCTGGGACCTTTCAGTCCGCAGGCCGATGCTCTATCCACTGAGCCAAACCGGTTTCGGCCTACAAAATCTTTTCAACGCAGGATTTTCTCTACTTGCTGTGTGCCACTTTTAATCTGATTATGCAGCGCTTGGTGGCAGTACCTTTTAAATGGGGTCCATGTCTCAAGCACTGCCAGAATCACCCAGATTAGGAAAGCAAAACAGAACAGGGATTCATTCGGTCAGTCAGCGGCACACACACGTGCCTCCTGTGCGGCCAGGAGGCTTCCTTTGACCAGCCTGGGCCGCTCCTGCCTAGGAAGGCTGATGGGGGTCAGACCATGGGTGGCAATGACACGTCTTTGGTCAGATTCTGTTCTTACAGCCTAAGCATCTTCCTAACATACTTTACAACCAAAGGCACTTCTTTTAAATGGAGCGCTTTGAGTTTATTACTAAAACATAAAGTGACTCCCACTGTTACACTACCATGCAGTTTCATTCAATCTGAAACTGAAACATCTGCTTCGTTTTAAACCCTCATAAGTTACTTTTTCTTAAAAAGTAATTTATAACTGCTGCTAATGTTTAAACTGCCTTCCTGAAGTAAGCAATGATTCTCTTAATGGTTAAACATTTTATAATGACATTTTTAATGTTTCTGTATAATAACATGAAATTTTTGTTTATAAGATATTCTGAAGAAAATTGAAAATTGTTGTTTTCTTACTAGTTTAGTGCAAATGACTTAAGTCATTTATTTCAAACAAGATGTTGACTTTATTGTCTTAACATAGAGCCTTGTGAAGAGCCTTAAGCAAATTCATTACAACTAATGTCAGTATCACTGCTGAGTTTTTGCTTACAAGTACAGATTTTTAATTTAATTTAATGTTTATAATTAAAAGATCACATCCTCAATTATCTAATTTTACTTTTTCAACACATATCACTGTTTTATTGTTTATTAGACAGAAAAGAGCCCTGTTTTATTTGTTGTTTCTTTCTCTTTATAATTAATTGACTGAATTTATATTTCATTTGTACAAGTCATTTTTGTTAATTTTTATTTTTGGCTTAATTTCTTTTAGAAACATGTCATTCAGGTTTATCAAAAGGTAGGATTTATATATATGTGTGTTTTTTTTCAATCCTCACCCCAAAATGGTTCCTGCAATTAACATCAGGTTTGGCTTTTTAGCCCTTTGTTTTTTGTTTTATTTTTTTTAACTAAACTTTCTGCTGAGAACTAAATACTTATTTCCTTAAAAGGAAACTGGAAAGAAATAGATTAACTCTTTCAGGCATTTTTAAAGGGACTGTGGCACCCACATAACGAGGCCTACGCATGCTCTGTGCATTTTCTTTCTTGGGTAGAATTATTTAGCATCCAAATAATTCTGTCTTCATACTAATAACACTCAGCATGCTTCTGTTTGAGGAATGAGATGTGCAGTAACATTAGTGTACATTTCATGGGCAGCCTCAGGCGGGCAGAGGTAAGTTGTGATTGTGTGTGTCATCATTTTCTATTTCATAGCGGATTGGATTCCAAAAGGCTCTGAAGTGAGAGGGAAATGAGCTTATATTCTGAAACTAGAGACACGTGTAAGACTCTCACTTTATGGTCTGTTAGGTTCGGGGCACTGCATAGCAAAAATGTTGCAATGTTTTCAGAGTTGAGGAGTAAATAGTATTTTATTTAAAGCTGCTTTCCACTAACCACTGAAGAAAGCGTATCTTGGGGTGGGGTGTTTGTGTGTGTGTGTGTGTGTGTGTAGTTTTTGTTTTGTTTTGTTTTTTTAAATTGATTTCAAAGAAGAGAGAGACTGAGAGAAACATAAATAATGAGAGAGAATCATTGATTGGCTGCCTCCTCCGTGCCCCACATGGGATTGAGCTGCAACCCCGGCATCTGCCTTGACCAGGAATCCAACTGACCTCCCGGTTCATAGGTCAATGCTCAACCACTGAGCCACGCCCTCCATGCAAGCATGTCTTGTTTTTAAAGCACTGTAATGAATGCTGTTCCTACCAGAAGACTTTTTTTTTAATCCTTACAGGAGGTTGTTTATTAATATTAGAGAGAGGAAGGGGGGAGAGAGAAACATCAGTTGTGAGAGAGACACATCAGTTGGTTGCCTCCTGCGCATAACCCAACCAGTGCCGAGGATCGATCCTACAACTGAGGTACGTGCCCTTGATCAGACTCAACCAAGGGCCCTCAGTCCAAGGGCTGATGCTCTGTCTACTGAGCCAAACTGGCCAGGGCGAGATGACTATCTTTTATGCTGACAGCAAAGAAACCAAAAATGTGGCTCACTACCTTGCAGTGCACCCGTGAGGCAGAAAGTCTGCCTGGAGGCCGCCTGTCCTGTGCCTCTCGGCTCCCGGGAAGACTGGCTGCTGTGTCTTACTCAGGGACACGGTGCGCCCTGAGGGCCTGGGTAACGGGGGTCTTTACCAAACACTGGGAGACCACTTCTTCTGAGGGAAACTCCACCTGGGGGTGGCTTTGAGTTGATCTTCCTAGTTTCCAGATTTCTCTTGGAAAGATGATTTTCTACTTGAACGTAGAATTCAACGGGTAAACCCGGTTCCCTTTCTCGGAAAGCAAGCCCTTTGGGAAGTGGTTTGAGGCCGGCATGCCTCCGGCACCTGGGAGGCGGGGGCTGAGGGGTCACCATGAGAGGGGCCTACGCTCATGGTGACTTGGGGGTCTTGGTTTGCTTGGGGGTCATGTGCTGCTGTGTAAGATCTCTTTTCTCTTTCCCACTCTCTGCTTCTGTGTTCTGTGCGTTCAGGCTTCCGACCGAATATGAGAGGAACGGGAGATATGAGGGCTCCAGGTGAGGGAAATGACTTTTTAAATATGTTTTATGTTTAAAAAAAAAAATGTGGCAGCAGGGCTGCTCTTCCTGCTGTCAATGTGTTGCTTTGGTGGGTCTGTCTGGCTTCTGTGGTTGGGAAGAGGCAGTGACACTGCTTTCCCTGCCTTGGGCCTGGGCCAGAGCTGCGCTACACCCCAGGACCACAGGAGGGCGCCAGGGTGCCGCTGCCTGGGCCCTAACAACAGGAACTTGGGTCTGAGTTTGGGGGGAACAATGACTCCTAGCATAGATCTCAAAAATGAAAGTGGTGGGTAGAAATTTCACATTAGGTTTTTTAATATGTTTTATTGACTTCAGAGAGGGGGGGGACATCAACTATGAGAGAGAACCATTGCAGGCTTGATTCCTTCTACCAGGAATCAAGCCTGTAACTCGGGCGTATGTCCTTGACTGGAATTGAACCCAGGACCCTTCATTCCACAGGCTGGCTCTCTGAGCTAACTAGTTAGAGAAAATTAGGTTTTTAGAAGAATGATTATGTTTTCAAGTGCTTTGTTTTTATTTTATTTTGTAATGTGTTTTTATTGATTTCAGAGCAGAAGGGAGAGAAGGGTAGAAACATCAATGATGAGGGAATCACCAGTTGGCTGCCTCCTGCACACCTCATACTGGGGATCAGGCCTGCATTCTGAGCATGTGGCCTCCTGGTTCATAGGTCCACCTTTAATCACAGAGCCGTGCCGGCCAGGCGAACGTTGTGCTTTAAAATTTGGTGTAGCTGTCATTGCTCAGATTTGGGGCGAAGGAGTGACCAGCGAGGCTCAGAGCTGTCTGTCGAGTCCCTCCCTGAGCCCTTTGCAGAGGCGGCCACGTGCTGCTTCGGGGCCTGATGGACCACATTGGCTCTCCTGCTGGCCTTCCTAAAGCACCCTCTGCCATCTGCCTCTTCTGAGCGAAAGCCTGCCGACCAAGTCCCTGCGGGCCCTGTGTAGCCTCGAAGTGCCCTGGCCTGCCCACTCTAGCCTGGAGCAGGCCAAAGCTGTCCTGAGCATGTTCCCCTCCATGATAGGAAGGAAGTCACAGGACCTGCCTCCCGGTGTGTGACAACCAAGTGGGCACTCTGTGCCCAGCCTACCTGTTGGCACTCTTGCTCACGTCTGCCCTGGGCCTCTGCTTGCACATGGAAGTGGTGGTGTGGGACCCGGGGTTCCTTCCCATGGGTGGGCACGCCTGGCTCTGGGCCCCTCTGGTCACTGTGATGCCTTTCCAGTGGCACGCTGTTCCTCGGGGTGGCCTTCCTCCCGCCCCCTCCTGCGGCCATGCGCTCTGCTCCCTAGTCAGTGCCCGACACAGATTTGTGAAGTGGAAGCTTCCCATCAGCTTTGGTGGGTGTGAGTCCAATGGAATGTTCTGCCAGCAGGCCAGCAGCAGGGAACTGTGAACCCTGCGGCCCCTCAGTCCTGAGGGAGGACGTGGCCGTAGATTAAGTTTAATGTTTACACTGGTGTGCTCAGTGCGCAAGCCTTAGGTTCACACCTTCCCCAAGGCCTTGGTGACACACAGGAGACTGAGGGTAGTTGTGTCCGCAGTGATAACAGGAAGGTGGGAGGAGGCCTGTTCTCGGGTTTCAGGAGAACCTGGCTGTGACATCTAGGGATATGGGGGACTTCGGCTTGAATGGAGAGTCCATAGTTTGCATTCAAACTGGTCACTTTTGCTCAACAACAAATAAGCCTTAGCACTTTTTTTTATTGCACTAGCAAGATAATGTCATGGAAGAATTTTTTTAAAAAAAAAACCTGAAAACAGGTGTTTAAATTAAAGTAAAAGGAAAAATACGGAGAGTGTACCCCTTCTCCCCCCCCCACACACACATACACACACACAGCTCTGTGCTCAGCCTGAGGGGCTGGTGGCAGGGAAAGCAAGTGAAACTGCTGAGTGTCCCGTTATCCCCAGTCCCAGCGGGGCTGTGAGTGAGCTGAGCCCCTGAGAGGAGCTGGGGCTCCTTTCCCCTGCGCTCGGCCTGGGGCAGAGCTGGGCTCGTGGACTCGTGGGCAGCGCTCTCTCTCTCTGCTTTGCCTGGTTTAACTGTTTTCTTAATTCTAGTAAGCACATGACTTAATGTTCTTACATGTAAGTACATGACCGGTGGAGGTTTGACAGGTAGATTTTCTGCATGTGAGGTCTGTGGTTTAGGGGAAGCAAATAGATGAATATTTCTTAGAAAAGAAGCAGATACCATGTGTGAGCCTGTGCAGAACGGGCCGGCTCCCCCGTGCTGGAGAGCTGGCCGTGCATGCGCTGGAATAGAGGGCCGCTGTCCCCCGCAGATAAAAATAAACCTGCCGCTGTGCGTTTCAGTCGCAACGTATCTGCTGAGCAAAGGGACGAAAACAAAGCAGCAAAGCCTCGCTCCCTGCGCTTCACCTGGAGCATGAAAACCACGAGCTCCATGGACCCCGGCGACATGATGCGGGAGATCCGCAAGGTGCTGGACGCCAACAGCTGCGACTACGAGCAGAGGGAGCGCTTCCTGCTCTTCTGCGTCCACGGCGACGGGCACGCCGAGAGCCTGGTGCAGTGGGAGATGGAGGTGTGCAAGCTGCCGCGGCTGTCTCTGAACGGGGTGCGCTTCAAGCGGATATCGGGGACGTCCATCGCCTTCAAAAACATTGCTTCCAAGATTGCCAACGAGCTAAAGCTGTAGGTGGGACGCTGTGGGGATGTGTAGGTAACCTTAGGCAATAACGTCTGCATCCTCTAATCATGGCATCAGTGTAAGGACGAGAGCGCGCCCGGGCGCGGCCCCACCTCTTTCCGCAGATGCACTACATTAAAGCTGTGTGACACGTGTGCCCTCTGTCTGCTTTCCATCGCCCGGAGGCCAGCCCGCGGCCCCCGCCCGCGGCCTCCTGTGGGGGCGCCTCCTGTGGGGGCGCCTCCTGTGGGGGCGCCTCCTGTGGGGCTGCCTCCTGTGGGGGCGCCTCCTGTGGGGCTGCCTCCTGTGGGGGCGCCTCCTGTGGGGGTGCCTCCGAGCGGGCGCGCCTGCAGGAGCATCTCCTGCCCGGCCGCCCCCGGCAGCCTGGGAGGCCATTGGTGCTACAACTGTTACACTTGCCAAGGAGGGAGATACTGAGCTACTAAGAATTAACCGTAAGACTAGCTGGTAATTAGTACAGGTTTACAGTTCATGCCTGTGGTTTTGTGTTTGTTTGTGTGTTTTCTAGTGCAAAAGGTTTAAATTTATAGTTGTGAACTTTGCTTTGTGTTTTTCTAAGTAGATTCACAAGATAATTAAAAATTCACTTTTTCTCAGTAAAACCTCGCATCGTCTCTCCTGCTGTGTCTCAGACTCAGTGTAAAGCAGTGACTGAGTCTCTACCTTCACCAGCCAGCCGAGCAGAGCCACTGGAGAGAGTGGGAGGCCTGTCCTCAGGACCCGCGGGCGCTGAGGGAGAGCCGGCCTCCGCGGCCTGAGAGCAAGGGGGCCAGAGGGTCTGACATCCCAGGTGTTCTCTGCGAAGTATGTCCCTTGCCTTCGTTTTTCATGGTTCGTTCCATGAATTCGACGGACAGCCTTCTCCCAGCCCCTCCCCGCCCTGTGAGGCGCCCACTCGCAGTCTGCCGCTCTGCTCTCACAGGGAGGTTGTCACATGCGGGGGTGCTGCTCGGGTGCTGGTTAGTTGGTCACAGGAGGAAAGTCTGGACACTCAGTCACAGGCACGTCTGCCCCAGCAGGTCACTGTTCCAGTGTGGGAGGGACACACACGTCCGTGAGCAGACAGACCTACTCTCTCAAAGGTGTGCTCTACAGCATGGCGGTCACAGCGACAGGGACGGACCTGGTGCAGTGTCAGCGCTGTGACAATGGGCCCTGGCTGCAGCAGGCGCTACGCTCAGTGGGGCTGAGGGGGTGGGGTTCAGGGCCTGAGCAGGAGGCACCTGCAGAGCCTGCAGCCCCGCGCTGTGTGGGCAGAGGGAAGGGAGATGCTCACACTCCAGCTGGGCCTGGAAGGTCATTGCAAGGGCATGTCCTACTCTGACTGGGAGCTACAGGGGCTCCCAGAGGGGTGCGCAGCCTCTCTGGTCTGCAGGGCGTGGTGCTGGCAACTGGGCAGGCTCGTCCTGGCAGCAGGGAGCAGCCAGGCATAGTGGGTGGCGGTGGGCGGTGATGAGGCAAGAGATGCTGCCGGTGAGATGGTGGCTCTTCTGGATGTTGTGAAACAAGAGTCAGTGCGTTTGCTCCGTGGATGTGGGTGAGGGAGGAGAAGCCGGAGGCGGCAGGAGCAGCAGGAAGAGGCGCTGCCGCCCTGGGTGGGGCAGGTGTGGGAGGCGTGGGCTCTGCAGAGCCTGGAGAGCCTGGGCTCAGCGGGTGGGTGGCGCTGCTCAGAGCGGGGAGCGCCGTGCCCTGAAGGAGGGGCAGGGTGCGCCCTGAGCCCCAGATGGGGCCTTGTCTTTGCTGCTGAAGTGGGGTGGGTACCCCATGGAGAGACTGGGAGAGGGGGCTCAGCCTACAGGGAGCTGGGAGAAGGGGGGCAGGTGAGTGCCTTTTGACCTCAGTGTGGAGCGCGTCAGTCACCTCACTGGAACCTTTCAGACCTTCGCTGGGGAGTCGGTAGCCCCCTTCCCTCTTCTGGGGCCTGTCGCTTCCGTGTCCAGACCTGTCTCTCCCTCGGCAGGCTCTGCCAGCGGCGGGCTCCCGTGCGGCTGCAGGGCTGGAGATGCAGAGCGGGCGGGGCTGTGTCCTCGCTCCCACCCTGCGGGACGAGGGCCATGCTGTGCGTGAGACCTCGGCTAGACCGTTCACGTGCCCTGGTGAAGTGGCCGCTCTTGGTGCAGAAAGAAGCCGAGCCGTTGGCGGCTGCTCATTCGTCCTCGCCCTGCACCTGGCACCCCGGTCAGTGAGAAGTGGGGTACGCCCGTGGCCGCCACAGGGGCAGGCGTCCGAGGTTGTTACTCGTGGACGGTGGCTTGGTGTTAGTGGCAGCGCGGTGCTCCCTTTGCTGAGGTCAGCCTGAGTCCACCTCGCCGGCGGCCAGGCCCTCCTTTAGAGTCTGCGTTCTCATTCTGCACACACACGAGTTCGTAAAGGAACGTCCTGGAGCACTTGCACATCGTGTAAGCAGCAGAGACAAGGTCGTGTCTCCCTCCTCCCCGCCCTGGACCCCGGGCTGCTGCCGTGGTGCCCGAACAGCAGGGCGGCGTCCTGGTCCGGGAGGGAGGGCGACTTTCCGGACGTGCCGGCTCTCAGCGGCTGCCCAGCTCCAGGCCTTCGTGCTGCACCTAAGGCACAGGCAGAGAACGGGGTACCGGGACCCGAGCCCGGGCGGAGGAGGCAGCAAGTGGGCACAGAGGTCGGTCAGTGGCACTGTGTCCTGGGCCAGCACACACCTTGGGGGTGAGGAGGGCCTGGGTCCGAGCTTGGAACTTTGCTTTTTGGGGACTTCATTTGGGTTGGGGGTGATTGGTAATTTGCCATGAGGTCTTGGGGGGGGGCTGGTCTTGAAGGGCGTGGTGGGACGTGCAGGCCTGGCTCACAGGTGTCCTGACTGCCTGGGGGCACCTGCCCTCCCGGTGCCTCCCTGAGGGTGACTGGGCACCCTGCAGCAGCAGCAGCTGTGTCAGGCGGCCTTTGGTGCGTCCCTTCGAGAGGCAGCACCACCCACGTGACTCCGCAGAGCGGGGGCTCAGCAGCACTGCGACCCTCAGACAGACAGCTCCTCAGACAGACAGAAAGCTCCTCAGACAGACAGAAAGCTCCTCAGACAGACAGCCCCTCAGACAGACAGCTCCTCAGACAGACAGAAAGCTCCTCAGACAGACAGAAAGCACCTCAGACAGATGGCTCCTCAGACAGACAGCTTCTCAGACAGACAGCCCCTCAGACAGACAGACAGCCCCTCAGACAGACAGACGGCTCCTCAGACAGACAACAGCTCCTCAGACAGCCCCTCAGACAGACAGCCCCTCAGACAGAAAGCTCCTCAGACAGCCCCTCAGACAGACGGCTCCTCAGACAGACAGACGGCTCCTCAGACAGACAGCTTCTCAGACAGACAGCCCCTCAGACAGACAGACAGCCCCTCAGACAGACAGACGGCTCCTCAGACAGACAACAGCTCCTCAGACAGACAGCTCCTCAGACAGAAAGCTCCTCAGACAGCCCCTCAGACAGACGGCTCCTCAGACAGACAGACGGCTCCTCAGACAGACAGCTTCTCAGACAGACAGCCCCTCAGACAGACAGACAGCCCCTCAGACAGACAGACGGCTCCTCAGACAGACAACAGCTCCTCAGACAGACAGCCCCTCAGACAGACAGCCCCTCAGACAGAAAGCTCCTCAGACAGCCCCTCAGACAGACGGCTCCTCAGACAGACAGCCCCTCAGACAGACGGCTCCTCAGACAGACAGCTCCTCAGACAGACAGCCCCTCAGACAGACAGACAGCTCCTCAGACGGACAGCCCCTCAGACGGACAGCTCCTCAGACAGACAGCTCCTCAGACAGACAACAACTCCTCAGACAGATAGCCCCTCAGACAGACAGCTCCTCAGACAGACAGAAAGGGCCTGTCCGTGGAGGAGCCGCAGGGAGAAGTCGGGGCCAGGAGGGGGCAGCAGGGCGGAGGCCTGCGTGTGAGGGCCGGACTCGGGGAGGGGCCGGCTTGCTTGGGGCTCTGGACAGCGGAGGGGACAGCCGCTAGCCCGTGCTCCCCGCAGCAGGCTCCGCCACGAAGGCCACGCAGGCGGGGCTCACTCACACCGGGACCCCAGGCTCCCTTCGCCCAGGCCCCGGGCGGCCCGGCTTCCAGGCTCCAGCCTGGCGACCTCGGGTTCCCCCTAAAAGTAACGTGTCCCCTCGGCAGGCCCCTGCCCCGCTCCCAGCCCACCGGCCAGAGGCTCCCCCGGGGACTGCTCCCCCGTCCCCCCTGCGGTGAGGGAGGAACCGCCCTGGCTCCTCCAATGGAGCCTGCGCCTCGGGGGCTGACCCTGTGCGGCCCGGCCTTCCAGCGCTCCCAGCGGCCTGCGCCCACCGGTGCCTGTCCCCGGGCGCTGACGCCACACCCGTTAGAACGGCGGCCCATGGGGCCCATGTCCCCAGTCCCTGCACCCTGCACATAGCACAGAGCAGGGGCCGGTAGTAAAGCACAGGGTGGCTGGGTGCAGGCAGCTCTAGAGCAGTGGGAACTGGTCTGCGGTCGCTGGTCTCCAGCCCCCTGGTGCCTCTGCCCCAGCTGGCACTGGGCAGGTACTCAGGCGGGAGCCACCAGGGGCCGGAGCCGGCCAGGAGCCGGTGCTGCGCTTCCCGCTGCCTGCGCATCCATCACGCAGCTCAGCCGGGCAGGCCGGGCCAGTCCTCTGGCCAAGTTGTACAGACACACTGACAGCGGGAGGGGACCCAGCCTCCCATGACAGACCAGCACCCTGGGGCTCGGCATCAGCGTGGGAGCGGGGGTCAGAGGGCAGAGCCGTGGGTGTTAGTGGGCCTCGCCTCGGGGCCACATCCGGGCACCGTTCCCGGAGGCCTGCGGGCAGGAGGCCTGTTTGAGGACAGGGAAGCTGGTCCTCGGGGCCCTGGGGCGGGGCCAGCCATGCCCCCCCCCCCCCCCGGCCGCATGCGCACTGTCCCCTCGGCTGTGGTTCCTTGCTTTGTGGACTCACTGGTTCTGCCATCTGTGTGGTTGGCACCAATGGCGGCAACCCTGAGTTTCTGCGTCTTCCCAGCTCCTCAGCCCTCGCTGTGGTCCCTGCTGCGGAAGGACTTCCCGCCCCTGGGTGGTGACGGGGCCCTGGGGGGGGCGTCCCCGGGGAAAGGGACAGCTGACAGCATGGCTCTGCCCCCCCTCCGCCTGTGCCTTTTGTGTTTCCTGCTCTCGCTTCCTCCCACCCACTCGCCCCCCTCCCTGCGTTATTTTAAGCCAACACTCTAGACTCATCCCTCACACACCCGGGAGGGGGGAGGGTTCTGGCCTCTCCCTTCTCCTGGAACAGAGCTCTCACCCCCTGCAGGCGCCTGTTAGGGGCTTTCTGGTCAGGGCTCAGGCGTCTGGAAGAAACGTCATGTTCCCTCCTGGACTTTGCTTCTCCAGGTTAAACCGCCCGAGTTCTTTGTGGGGGTTTCGGAGTTCTTTGTGGGGGTTTCGGGGGGCATCCCGGGGCTTGTCCGCCCTGTCCCTGTGGACGTTCCTCGACATGCATGTGGGGGCAGGCGCGGGGGCAGGGCTCGGAGGGCCTGTGCTGAGCTCCAGGGTGCTGAGATGAGACAAACCAGGTGAGCCTGTGCCTTCCAGAGTGCTTTCTCACAGGAGAGGGGTACACGCACGGTCTTGAACCCAGGACCGCCAGTGCTGCCTGAGTGCGGGCTCGGGGCTGGGCAAGGAGGCGCAGGGTGCTGACGGGGGACAGGCTGGGTCCTGTCACCGTTGCAGTAAGCAGTGTCTCATTCAGTGCCCCTCTCCTGGGAGGGGCACTTTCTTTGGGGTGATCTGACAGACACCCTGCCCTGGGTGGGAAGCACCCTGGCACAGGGCACGTGGCATGCTGGCTCCTTCCAGGGCCAGGCCTGCACCGGCTCCCGCTGCCTTGGGAGGGAGTGCCGGCGGGCGTGGGCGGGTGATACATCGCGAAGCAGCCATGTTCTGCATGGAAACAAGCTGGGACGTAGCATGTGCATTGGTTCACCCGCCCGGCAGCAGGAGCTGCAGACGCCACCACCCAGCCCCCAACGCCTGGCACTTTGGCCGGGTCCCGGGCTGGCTCCCCAGCGCCCGCTCCGCTCACCTGCAGCCCCAGCTCTAGCCCCAGCCCAGCTGGTGGGTCCCGTGCTCTCAGCTGGTCCCCGGCTGCTGTCGGGGCGGTGGCAGTCCCGGTGTCTGCGCAGCCGCCTTGTGCTGTCCTGTCAGTCATAATGGAGCAGAGCCCTGGTCTGGCCTGTCCTTGAGCAGAGGGAAGCTGGCAGCGCCTGGGCCTCACCTGCTCGGGGAGAGCGGGGGGGATGGGGAGAGGGGCGGCCTGGAGCGCAGGGGTGCCGTGAAGTGCGGGCACCATGCGGCTCCTGTACTGTTTCCTGAGGGAAATGCACCTGAATCCACTACTCCATGCACCGAGCAGTTTGTGTCAGAAGCATTACCAAAACAGTCTTCTCCTTGCAGTGAACACTTAACGGGAGTTCGTGTTTTTGCTGAGTGTGTCTGTCGGGAATAGCTGGGCGTGTTTTCACTCAGACCACTGTCTGCCCAGTCCTGGCAGCAGGCCGGTGCGGTGGGTGGGAGGCCCACAGCTGGACCCACAGTGAGACAGTGCAACCTCGGGCTGGGGGGGGGGGGCTGAGGTCCTCCCGGGAGGAGGGCAGGGGCCGGGGGAGCACAGGTGGGCCTGGGCTCGGGTGGCAGGGCTGAGTGTGGAAAGAGAGAGGCAGAGGGAGCCCCAGGTTAGACCGGAACAGCAGAGGAAACGGGTCTGGAGGTGTTGGTGCCGCTGCCGGCAGTTTCAGGCCTACGGGTGCCACCTACATGCTCATAGGCATGGGGGTTCTGGCCAAATCCCTGCAGGTGCACCTCCAAGGCCTGGGGACCGGGGCAGGCCAGCAAGCACCTCGCCGGCCCCAGCATGCCAGGAGGTCCGTGAAGGCGGAGCAGGCCCCGCCCAGTGCAGTCCCCACTGCCACGCCGGGAGCGGGGCCGGCCATCACTCGGTGGAGATGTCCCCCCGCCAGCCGAGGCCCGTCCTCACCCCAGGCGGGCGGCTGGGACTGCCTTGGGGTCATGCCACTCGGGTTGGGCAGCGAGCCACCCCACAGGCTCAGCGGAAAGAGCTTGGAACCTTCCTGGGTCTGAAGTTCAGGGCGGCCTTCACCCTGACAGGCCCAGCTCTCAGCGGGGCTGCAGGTCTCCGGGGGGCTGGGGACAGGTGGGGAGAGGCCCAGGCGTGCATGCCGCCCGCGGGCCCTCAGCCAGACCTGGGAACCAGCACCTCAGTCATCCAGGGCACAGGTAGAGCCTTGCTTCCTGCATCTGAAGTCTCCCTGCCCCTGGGGGCCGCACAGAAGATGGCTGCTTGCCACCCAAGCACTTGCCCCCGTTCCCTGTGGAGAGGCGTTCAGAGAACGAGGTGCAGCCAGGGGCCGCGGGAGGCGTGGGTGTCAGCTCTGGGCCGCAAACAAATGCAGAGCACAGACCCGCCGGCCGCCTCGGCAGCGCCTGCTGAGCTGCAGGCCCGCACTCCGGCCAGCAGGCTGCAAAGGCCCAGGGTAGCGGACAGAGCCCAGGCCTCAGAACCCCGTGGCCTCCTGGCGACCCCGCCGCCGCTGTCCTCCCTGAGCCCCGTTCCCACCCCCACAGGTGGGTGGCTATGGATCAGGCGCAGCTGTAACAGCCATGCCCTCCCCTCCTGTCTCCCACGAGCTATGACACATCAGAGCTTTTAAAACACATCTTGGGAAGTGGGTTCGGCTTATGTAAGATGTTCTCTGTGGGGAACTTGGAAAGTAACGCTGGAAGGAAGTCACCTGTCACCTCTCCACCACGCTCACCGCTGCTCCTCGGGGTTCCCCACGTTCCGCGTGGGATCCGAGGACAGGCTGTTTCCTGCCCGACGCCGCCTCCCTGAGCCCTGCTCTCCCGCACGCGGTGCCTGCCTGGCACTCGGGCGGCCCTTTATGTCGTTGGCAGCCGAGTACCGCCCGCACACGCAACTGTATCTCCCAGTCCCTTCTGTGGGGCGCTGGCTGTGTCTCCAAGGGACGGGACACCTTCAGACCCCGGGCGGCGTTTGGCAGTGCCACGAGGGGGGTAGCTAATGCTGCTGGCATCTAGGGGTTAGGGGCGGGCTGAGCCCCCCGGAGCAGACCCCTCAGAGCTGTCCAGCAGGATGTCAGTGGGGCTGCAGCGGGAACCGGGCCAGGGGCTCACTTCCCAGCACGGCAGTGAGGTGTCCACCCTCCGACCAGGCAGAATAGAGCCTGTTCCCTGCACAGGTTTGGCATTTCATAGGTCCCCTAGTTTGATATCATTTCAAGGAAAATTAAACTCAGGGTCTCTGGGCCTGTCCCAGCCTGAGCGCCAGCACACAGAGGACAGGAGGAGCCAGGACTCGGGGGAAGGGCTGGGAATCGAGTGGCGGGGGCAGTTGTGTCCGGGTGGGCAGCTGAGCCCGGGCTGGCTGGCACCTGGGCCTTCCTGGGCGGCATGCCGAGGGAATGCCACCTGTCAGAGTGACGTGTCTGCTCAGGTGCTGCTGCACACCCTCACTGGGGGCACGGGCACACCTGGCGGGAACCCCGCGCCCACGCGCTGCCCCTGTGCAGCGGAGCCTCGACAGCGAGCCTGGCAGGGAGGTGTCCTGCTGCTCCCGCTCGGCATGGCTGCCCTTCCTCCCTAGTCAGGCCTTCCCATGGCTGCACTTCCTGGGCGAGGCAGACCCAGGCTCTGAGCGAGGCCCTGAGGCCAGAGCGAGGGTGCCCTGCCTCCTGCCCGCTCAGGCCTGGGCTGAGGGATGGGTGCAGAGGTCCCCCACGGGGGCCATGGCAGAGGCTCCTGCATGGCCCTCACACCAAGGACACCTCACGCTGCCCTTCCCCCCCTGCTTGTGCCAAGTCCCAGGGCTGCGATGACTAGCACCCTGTCCTGGGTGGAGCCCCGTCTCTGGTGGACAGACTGCCAGCCAGGACGAGGTAGGCGCAGAGGACGAGCCTGGCTTCACGTTTGCAGGAGAACCTGGGAAGGGAAAGGCCTGGGGGACCCAAGCTTGGGACCTTTCCCAGGTCAGAGAAGGCGGGGGTGCCAGGACAGACAGTTCTGGCCAGCAGGTGGCAGCACAGGCTGCCCTCAGGGCTGAGGAGTTGGACAAGGACAGCCAGGCCCTGGCTGACTCGCTCATGATGGCCACAGAGCCTGGCCAGGGACACTGCGGTGGGCCCACCATGAGGTGTGAGGACCTGGGCTTCTGGAAGGACTGCAGGGTGGGGCCTAGGGGCACGAGGGCCAGTTCAGCCTAAGGGCAGGGGTGGAGCTGCCAGGCTGGCTGGAGAAGGGGGTAGTTTTGGAGAGGGGGGGACAAAAAGTTTCGTTTCTGGACTCCTGCCCTCCTCTCCGCACCCACACCTCCCTCACTCTGCAGGTGGGATTGAGCAGAGTGCCGGCTCCACCCCCACCAGGCCCACCAGGCCCAGGTGCTCTTAGATGCTCAGCTTGGGGCTCCTCCTGGGAGCTCCTCCCCTTCCCCAGCCCACCCCCAGCCCTCCCCAGGCCTGCAGGGAGGGCCAGGGGGGTTCACTGAATAGGGCCAGTTGGGCACAGCAGGGGAGATAGCGGGGGACCCCCCTGTTCCTGTTCCACCTCAGAAAGGGACACAGGGGGCAGGCGGAGGCCAAACCCTAGTTTATTTCAGCATCAGCAACATCTCAGCCATCACAAAAATAAACTCTACCTGGGCAACGGGATCTGTCTACAGCGCGGCTAAGGGCTCGGCCGGTGCGAGCTCAGGGAGCGTGCGGGCGCTGCCCGGGCGATGCATGGGAAGCGGCGGGCGGCGGCGGTGGCGGCGGCAGGGCCGGAGCGTCACTTCTGGGCGGGCATGAGGTCGTCGATGGCCTGGCCCTGCTCCAGCCGCTGCTCCATCTCGATGAGCAGCTTCACGCCGTCCACCACCATCTGCACCAGCTCCACCTCCGAGAAGCCCAGGCGGTCGGCATTGGAGATGTCGAAGACGCCGCCCACCGCGGCCGTGTCCACGCCACCTGGGGGGACAGTGGGGTCAGCGGGGGGGGGGGGGGGGGGGGGGCACGGGGAGCCTCGGGCAGGCCCCGCCCCACGCACCTGTGCCCCGCTTCTGCAGCCGCAGCCGCTTGAGCACCTCGGCGAACTTCTCGTGCTGGCCCAGGTGGGGCAGCTTGATGTGCACGCCGGCCCGCAGCCCCGTGCCCAGGTTGGACGGGCAGGTGAGGATGTAGCCCAGGTGCGGGCTCCACATGAACTCGTAGTTCTTGGACTTGAAGAGCGTTTCAATCTGGAGGCGAGAAGGCCCGGCGTGAGGCCTGGAGACACACAGCCCTCCCCACAGGGACCAGCTGGGGCCCAGGAGCCTGAGGAGCGGAGTCCCTGCCCCGCCTGCCCCCTCCTCGGCACCGAAGCCCCACTCATGCCGGCTCCTGCTGGGGCCGGGCCTGACCTGGGTGAGGCCGGTGCAGAACCGGGTGAACACCTCCTTCATGTTGCCCCCCTTCTGCATGGAGATGACCCGCAGGTGGTCCTCCTCGTTGATCCACACCAGGAAGGTCTTGTTGTCATTGTGCCTGGGGGCGGGGGGCAGTCAGGCCTCCTGGGGGCTGAGGCCTTGGCGCATCCAGAAAACACTCCGGGGTCCCAGGCCTGAGGAACTTCTCAGCCCCTGAGGTGACCCAGGGGCCGGCAGGGAGGCCAGGACACCTCAGAAATGGATCCAAAAGCCCTGAGCTGCCCCCATCCTGCCAGGCACGTGCTGGGGGCGGGCACTGAGGGGACACCAGGCCCCCATTTAAGAGGTGAGAGGCCAGGCAGCCAGGACAGCCCCACCCCACCCCGGACAGAAAGCACTGAATCTGGGGAGAAGCAGGAGGCCCTCCCTCGCCCACTGGGAATCCTCTGCGTCACCGGCCCTGGCAGAGTCCCCGGGCGCCTGAAGCACGCGAGAGAGAAAACAAGGAGCTCCAGCTCCCAAGATGGGGAGAGAAGCCAACCTGGTCTCTCCCCCCAACCCCCCCCTAAGGTCCCCAGGGACTGCGGCGGCCTCCGCGCACCTGCCTGGTCAAGGTCACCTGCCAGGAGGCCGGGTGGCACCAAACCTGTCCCAGGAGCTTGTCCCCTCCTTCCCCCAGTGTGGGCGGGGCCGGCGCAGGGGGGCGGGGCCCGGGATGGGGAGGGAGGAGGAGGAGGGGCCCAGGATGGGGAGGGAGGAGGAGGAGGGGCCCAGGATGGGGAGGGCGCAGGGAGCGGGGGGCGCACCAGATGCCGCGGGCGTCGGGCCAGTCGCGGGCCATGCCCGAGGCCAGCAGCAGCGGGGACACCGGCTTGTCGAAGAGGAAGTGGTCGTCGATGAGCTGCTGCTGCTCCGCGTCCGTCATGCTCTTGAGCGAGTAGTACTTGCCCGCCAGGTCGCCGTCCAGGCTCGACAGCGCTGCGGAGCGGGGGCTCAGGGGCTGCGGGGCGCCTCCCGCCCGTCCGCCCGGCCCGGCCGCCACCTCCCCCACCCGGCCCCGCCCCGCGGGAGCCCCGCCCTCCCGGCCGCGGCCGCCACCCCCACCCCCTCCCGGCCCCGCGGGAGCCCAGGCTGCGTCGGGCGGGCGCGGCCGGAGCCGGTGGCCCTCGCCGGGCCTGGGCCGCGGTCCCTCGGGAAACCGGACCGGCACGCAGATAAGGGCGGGCGGCGGGCGGCTCCGGTGACGATAAACAAGGCGGGCGGGGGCGCGGAGGGACCGGGGGCGCGGGGGGCGGGCGGGGGCGCGGAGGGACCGGGGGCGCGGGGGCCGGGCGGGCGGGGACCCCCACCTTCCACCGAGAGCTTCTCGATGGCGCGGCGCTCCCCGCGGCTGCAGTGCGGCGGGAGGCAGAAGCCGCGGATGCTGCGGCCCGTGCGCACCCGGGAGCTCAGCACGTAGTTGGGGTCCAGGTCGTCGCCGCCCTGCGGGCCGAGCGAGGGTGAGCGCCGCGGGGACCCGCCGCCCGGCCCCCGGCCCCGGCCCCCGCCGCCCGGCGCCCCGCGCGCACCTGCAGGTGGCTGGGGTTGAGGTCGGTCTTGTGCTCGTCACTCGGCTTGTAGCCGCCGTGCCGGTCCTCGATGATGGGGTCGAAGAGCTCCTTGAACACCTCGTACGACTCCTCGTCGCCCGCCACGCAGCCCACGGTCATGATGAAGGGGTGGCCTGGGGGCGCCAAACGGGCGGTGACGTCACTGCCCCCGGCCCGCGGGGAGCAGCCCGCAGCTGCGCGGGGCGGGCGGGCGGGCGGGGACCGGGCCCGGGGCGCCCCGCGGGGAGCGCGCCGCTGCCCGCTGCCCGCTGCCGGCCCGGGCGGGGCGCCTACCCGGGTTGTCCACGCCGGTCTGGATGACGTCGTCCAGCGTGAAGCCGCTCGGCGTGCTCTTGGCGCGCAGCTCGGCGTACAGCTCGGGGGTCAGCACCTTGGCCATGTGGTTGTTGTGGGCGCTGAGGTCGGGGAACTCGTCCTCCGCCGGGAAGCGCAGCTTCAGCGCGTTGTGGCTGTTGGAGAAGGGCATGGCGGCGGCGGCGGGCTGCGGAGGGAGGGCGGCGCATCAGAGGGGCGGGCACCGGCCTCCCAGGCCCTGCGAGCCTCCCGGCCCCCCGGCCCCGGCCCCGGCCCCGGCCGGACCCCCGGATGCAGCCAAGGTCAGCGGGTCCGCTGTGCGCGCTCGGGGGCGTCCCACCTCCCCAGGCGCTCGGGCTGTGGGCTGGGTGGGTCTTCGCCGCGCCCGGAGCAGAGGATGCAGCGGCCCCGCGCCCCTCCGCGCAGCCCCCGCCCCGGCCCCCGCGCCCCTCCGCGCAGCCCCCGCCCCGCCCGGCCCGGCCCCGGGCCCGCTCACCGGCGGCGGAGCGCGGTGCCTCCTCTGCTCCGGAGCGTCGCAGGCGGACGGCGGCGGCCCGCTCTCCCGCGGCTCTTAAGGGGCGCCACGCGGGCCGCCCATTGGCTGCTATTTATAGCCCATTCATTCCATTGGCCCGCGCCGCGGGGTGGTGTCGCCGCTTTGTCCGCCGCCCGCAGCTCCATCCACCCCGGCCTCCCACCGGAGGATGCTTCCCCGCCCCGCGCATCCCGCCTCCCCGGCCGGCCCCGCCCGCCCAGCACCCCGAAGCCGGACCGCAGACCTTTGGACGTCCTGGGGCGCTCCCAACACTGCCGCCGGGCGGGAAACTGAGGCAGGGAGCCGCCCGGCGTTGAGGAAGCTCCGGCCTGTCCGCATCCCGGCTCCCGCCTCCCCTCCCGCCGGTCCCCGCGTGGACAGCGGCCAGGACGGGCGGGAGGGAGCGTCCTGGGCCGCAGGTGCAGCCCCCCCCCCCCGCCCCGCGCCGGCCAGCTGGTTCCAACGGCGACCTTTCTCAAGGTGCCCCAGGCATCTCCGGGCGATCTTGGTGCAGAGTGAAAGCAGCCCGCGGCGCAGTCTGGCTGCGGCCCAGCCCGCGGCACCCGCGGAGCCTTGACCTTGGGGAGTCCTGAAGCTCTGGGGGCTCTGCCTCTCTGCGGAGGGGAGGTCCAGCGAGGCTGCGGAGCGGTGCAGAGCCTGGGGGGACTTGCTCACCATTAAGTATCTGTGAGGTGTAAAAAAAAAAAAACACCTAAAAATCAGAACCATGCAAATTAAAATTAAAAAACAATGACTCTTCTACCTTCCACTACCCTCCCCCCCCCACCCCAGATTAGCAGAATGTGAGAGGGACAGCAGCGGTGTGCACTGTGGGCTGGACCTGCGGAGACAGGCCCTCACACTGTGCATTGCTCCATCTTTTTTGGAAAGCACTTTGGCAGGACATCTATCAGAGTTAAAAACATTCCCACTCCCTGACCCCGAGCTCCCGCTGCCTATGGAAAGGGCGGCCTCGCCAATAGAGGCCTGTAGGTCGAAAAGCAAACACAGGTCAACCTGGACAGACCTGATGCCCAGCGCGAGGGGCGGGCAGGGGGGGCCTGAGCCTGTGTGGAGAGTTTTAGTGTGAATTGGAGCCCCTGTGGTTAATACCTATCAGATGCTGCTTTTAGAATAAAGAGCTGAAACCGGTGTGGCTCAGTGGACAGAGCATCGGCTTGCAAACTGAAAGGTTTCTCAGGTTTGATTCCTATCAAGGGCACATACCTGGGTTGTGCCAGTAAGGGGCGTGCAGGAGGCAGCTAATCAATGATTCTCTCTCATCATTGATGTTTCTCTCTCTCTCCCTTCCTCTCTGAAATCAGTAAAAATATGTTTTAAAAAAGAATAAAGCGCCAGGACCGGTTTGGCTCAGTGGATAGAGCGTCGGCCTGCGGACTGAAAGGTCCCGGGTTCAATTCCGGTCAAGGGCATGTACCTTGGTTGCCAGCACATCCCCAGTGGGGGGTGTGCAGGAGGCAGCTGGTTGATATTTCTCTCTCGTCGACATTTCTCTCTGTCCCTCTCAATTCCTCTCTGTGTAAAATCAATAAAATATATATATTTTTTAATTAAAAAAAATTTAAAAAAAAGAATAAAGCAATAAAGGAGGAACCTCTCGTCTATGTGTGTATAAAACACCCCCTCCGCCCCCAGGCCTGCACAGTGAGCTCTGCGGGCAGCGGGAAGTGAGGGGAGACGGGGGGAGGGAGGGGGCGGCCCTGATTGAGCATCCCAGCGAAGGACCACCAGATGGAGGAGATGGGGGCGGGTGGGAGAGCCAGGAGTCCCTGTGCCGGGGGCGCCCTGAAGCAGAGACCCAGGGACAAGCACCAAGCACTCCCCTCACCTCTGCAGGCATCAAAGGGTGTGGAGCCTCAATGGCTGCCCCCGTGGTGACCGCAGAAGGAACCCTGACTCGTCCCTCTCTCCTGGGCCTGCTCTGACCTGTTCCCACAGAGCTTTTGTGTTTGGGTGCTGGCGTTTTGTGAGGCTCATAAAACAAGCCATTGTACGGGGCAGGCAGGCAGGCGGGCTGGACAGCAGGTGTCCCTTAAGCTGGGGTTCCTGCAGCCCTTTCCCCCGTTTCAGAAATATCTGCAGCTGCCTCCACCTCCGGAGGCCTGATCGGCTCAAGTTCCTGTTTCTAGAAACCAGAGCTGCTGGCCCTGGAGGCTGGCTTGGAGTGTGTGTGTGTTGGGGGGGGGGGGGGGGTTGCTCAGGGCTTCCTCTTTGTCTCAGCCTCTGCAGGAGCTCTGAAGGCCCCCTCCCCCACCCTCAGGCCGCCAGGGCTGGCCACTTAGGGGATGGGGAGAGGGAAGGACTCCCTGCACAGGCAAGCTCTGCTCGGACAGGGAGCCCAGCCGGACCGCCCTGTGGGCTCAGCACCCTCAGCCTTCAGGGCTGGGTCTTCTGTCCAGTTTGCACATAAGCAGAGGGGAGGTCCCAGGTGGGGGATAGAGGGCAGGCAGTCCCTCCTACCTGGAGTGGCCCGCCTTAGGCTGGACTCAGACTGACGCGAGGGGTCAGCAGCCGGGGCAGGGGCAGGGCCTTTAGACCCAATGCCAAGGTGAGGCGGCCCCACACCGGCGAGCTGCTTGGGGCCTGGTGGTCGCGGATCAGGGCAGCAGGGGGCGGGTGGAGGAGCCCCTGGCTGACCTAGCCCCCGACCTGGGCTCTCCTCGCTCCCCAGGGCCCACAGGAGCCGGTTGAGTGGCGTCTGGGAGGAGCAGGTGACATCACCTGGCCCGGATCCAGTGTGGGCTCCTCAGAAATCACACCTGGTTAGCCCAGCCCGGGAGGGGGAGGCAGCCTCCAGGGAGGGACCGCAAGCAGGCAGGGGCGGGCCAGGTGCAAGGGCCAGGCCGGCGCCCGCCATCCTTAGAGCCCGGGTCAGAGCGGCCAGGGCAGCCGTTGCTTCCTCCTCGCGCCCGGCCGGGCCTCAGCTCTGAGGGACCTGGAGGAAGCTGGCTGTGCTCAGTGGAGGCGGGGCTGCCATGGAGCCAGGGCACAGTGGGCGGCCGGGCCGGGCCGGGCTGGTCAGAGGAGGGACTCCCCTCACCTGACCCGGCCAGGACGTGGATGGAGCTCAGCTTCTCCCTCTCCTCCAGGGCTTCCTGCCTCCTCTCCCCGCCTTTCTACAGATCTGCTGTCAGTTCTCTGCAGCCACGCTTACTGGCTTTAAATTCCAATTTCCTCTCCCTGTCTGTGAAATGGTCCCTCCCTCCTGCACGGACTCTGGCCCGGGAAGGCGCCAACCTGATCTGGGGCATCAGCTTGGGTGGGGGGAGGGGCGGGAGGCCGGGGCTTGAGAACTGGGGCTGAGTCCCTGGTGGCTCCGATGGAGCAGATGGGAAGGCGGACTGCAGGAGCGGCAGCCGGGAACGGCCAGCGGCAGTGGGGAGAGGGACCACGAGAAACACCCAGGCCTAATTTAGGCGGAGCAGGCGCCCAGCCGGGGCTCCCACCACACGGAGGCTGGGGAAGAGGAACTCGGAGGAGAAGTGGAAAATCCAGCTGTCTCCGGGGAGCAATCAGGGAGTGACTCAGGCGGTGCAAAGGCGTCAGGCAGTCACTGGAACAGGGTGGGCCACGGTGCGCGGGGCGGGCTCAACGCTGAGAGCAGGAGGCAGGGAGGCCATGAAGCAGCCACACAGGCAGCTAGTGGCCAGAGTGCTAGCCCCTCGGGGACATGAGCCCACAGAGTGGAGGCCACCCACAGCCCTCACCTTCTTATCCCTGAGGATCCCAGACCTGGGGGCCACCGACTGGCCAGTCCCGGCCCCAGAGGAGGGAGAGTTCAGAGAGCCCCACGGGTGGCAAGGCTGTGTGGAGGGGCTGGCTCTCCTGGGCCTGGCCACTCCCACTTTGCCAGGCTAGACCAGCCGCGCCCAGAAGTGTGGCCTCAGGTAGGGCCTAGGCTAAGCCCCATCCCTAACTAGCCCCCCAGCCGCAGGGCTAACGGGACAAGCCCTGCTCGCGGGGAGCTGAGCGCTGGCACGCACGCAGTCCGCGGCTCCGGCCCGCCTCCCCCGCAGGAGGAACCGGTTCTGAGTCAGCCCGGCCGAGGCACAAGACTGCGCCTTCCCGGTCCGCCCCTCCCCCAGGCCCTGGCTCGGGCCGCTGGCACGGTCCCCACTGAGTCCAAAGTGAGCCGGTCCACCCAGCTCTCGCTGCACCCGGGTCTCGGGGGGCCCAGGCCCCTCCCTGGCTCCCTCCCAGGTCTGCACTCCGAGGGCGGGGCCGGGCGGGGAGCGGGCCTGGGCGGCGGCCTCCGCTGCACCCTGCCAGCCCCCCTGCACCCTGGCTGACCCCGCGGAGCCTTCCATCCGGCCTGCGATTGCATTTTCTGGAATGCACCCGGGCCCAGGCAGGGGCAGGGTGTTCCCCGCAGTGACCACATGTCCGGGCCCCGTGTCCTCCCAGGGGCGGCCTCGGGTCGGGGTGGCGGCCGCTGGGACCGTGGGACTCCGGCCGGCCCCCCACGGGCGTGTAAACACAGGAATCACACCCCGGGGAGCCGCGGGCGGGAGCGTGCACGTGCCGAGGCCCCGCGGCGACGGCCGGCGCCGTGACGTCATCGGCAGGCGCCGCGCGCCAGGCTGCAGCCGGAAGTGCCGCGGCCCCGACCCACGTGCGGACCCTCCCTCAGCCCGGCGAGCGGGGCGTCGGTGAGAGTCCGCGGGGCCGTGCGCGGGCGGGGGTCGGTCCGGGGGCCCGCGCGCCCCTCAGGCTCCGTGGTGCCGCCCAGACCGGTGCGGGCCCGGCCGCTGCTGCGTCCTCCCCTGGCGGGGTCCTCGCCCCCCGCGTCCCTCGGCCCCCGCCCGCCCTTCCGCCCCGGAGGCTGGGGGAGGGGGTCCGCCCCGGAGGCTGGGGGAGGGGGTCCGCCCCGGAGGCTGGGGGAGGGGTCCGCCCCGGAGGCTGGGGGAGGGGGTCCGCCCCGGAGGCTGGGGGAGGGGGTCCGCCCCGGAGGCTGGGGGAGGGGTCCGCCCCGGAGGCTGGGGGAGGGGTCCGCCCCGGAGGCTGGGGGAGGGGGTCCGCAGCGTCCAGCCTCCCCTCTCACCGGGGTGCGCGCCCGGCTCCTGGCGGAGCGTGAAGAGGGTTCGGGCCTGACTTGGTGGGGATCCTGCCAGAGTCTGCTTTGGGCCGATGGCTGCCGCCTCACACCCCAGGCCCAGAAGCTTCATGTCGGCCAGGGTGGCGCTGCCCTCCCCGTGGCGGGGGGCTTGGGGTCACCACGCACATCCTGGCGCCTGTCCACGCTGACGCCCCGCCCCTCTTCCAGGTCCCTGGCCCCGCCGCAAAGCCGCACCATGAGCTTCGTGGGGTATGAGGAGCTGATCAAAGAGGGGGACACCGCCATCCTGTCCCTGGGCCACGGGGCGATGGTGGCGGTGAGCGTGCAGCGCGGGGCTCAGACCCAGACCCGGCACGGCGTCCTGCGGCACTCGGTGGACCTCATCGGCCGCCCCTTCGGCTCCAAGGTGACCTGCGGCCGAGGGGGCTGGGTGTACGTGCTGCACCCCACGCCTGAGCTCTGGACCCTGAACCTGCCCCACCGCACCCAGATCCTCTACTCCACCGACATCGCCCTGCTCACCATGATGCTGGAGCTTCGGCCCGGCTCCGTGGTCTGCGAGTCTGGTGAGTCCATTTGCAAAGCTCCCCTGAGAAGTGTCAGGCGGTGAAGGGCAGAGGGTGACCACCGTGCCCTTCCTGAGGCAGGCATGGCTGCTTGACCTCTGTTTTTAGGAAATCTACTTTTATTGATTTCATAGAGAGAGGGAGAGGGAGAGAGAAACATCAATGATGAGAATCATTGAGCAGCTGCCTCCTGCAGCCCCTACTGGGGATGGATCCCACAACCCAGGCATGTGCTCTGACCAGAAATTGAACCTTCGGGTTCATAAGTCAACACTCAACCACTGAGTCATACCAGCCAGGCTTGACTTCTATTTGAATAGGCCCGTGGTCGGCAAACTGAGGCTCGAGAGCCACGTGCAGCTCCTTGGCCCCTTGAGTGTGGCTCTTCCACAGAATACCACGGCCTGGGCAAGTCTGTTTTGAAGAAGTGGCATTAGAAGAAGTTTAAGAAATTTGGCTCTGAAATTTCAATCGTCGTACTGTTGATATTTGGCTCTGCTGACTAATGAGTTTGCCGACCACTGGCCTAGGACATTTCTGGGGAGCTGCCTGCAGGGAGTGAGGGCAGAAGCAAGGAGGTCAGTCAGGAGGCTGGTGCTGTACTCTGAGTGGGAGTTGATGGGACTAGAGCAAGCTTGGAGGGGGCAGGCAGAGGGCCCACAGTGCCCTGGTGCTGACCAGGGTACTGACCGCCGATCCCTAACCCTGTGCTGACAGGGCGGAGGGCGGCTGGCCCAGGCCCAGGCTGAGGCGCCCTTCCTGGAGGGTGGCCAGGGCTACTAGAGACGCTGGTGGCAGGTGGCGAGCCTGCCCCCGGCACACTGCCCAGGCACTGTGGACCTGGGCCCAGGAGCCGGGGTGCAGGCACAGGGCTGAGGCCAGCTGTTCGCAGGCCTTTCACACACAGACACGCCCAGGGGCGCTGGACCGGCCTGGGGTGGAGACTGAAGCCTGAACCCGGGGGCCTGGGTTCCCAGCAGGCTCCTTGTGGGCTGGGACACTGGTTGGGGGGTCATGAGAGGCCCTGGTGCCCCTGCTGCCAGCTGTCTGAGGGCCTCAGGCCATCCTGTTCCTCTCTGGGCCTCAGTTTCCCACACGGACAATTGGATGGTCCCTGTTACGCAGCCAGACGCGTTGAAATGGGAAGAGTCAGAGGCAGGCTGGGCTCTGGGTCACGGAGTGGGTGGGATGGGCAGAGGCAGCGCCCAGCACGAGGCCTGTGGGTGCTGGCGCAGGCGCGCAGCCGGACTCGGGGAGGTCAGCCCCGCTGCACCCTGGCCGGGCCTCGCTGCTCTCGGGAAAGAGGGCCGGTCCGAGGCCACTCGGGGCTCCCCTTCGAGGACCTGAGGCACCGCCGTGGCCCAGCAGACCAGGCCCTGCCTCTCAGGGAACGTGGTCAGGTCGCGGCACCAGGGCAGCGCGTTGACGGCTAAGCTTGTAAGATGGGCTGCGTGTCTGAAGGCAGTTCAGAGGGGTCCTCCAGGCAGGGCGGTCAGGGCGGACCTCTGCAGCAGCGACAGTGAGTTGGAGAGGGTCACCCTGGGGAGAGGGTCACCCCAGGGGAGGGTCACCCCGGGGGAGGGTCACCCTGGGGGAGGGGGGCCCCAGTGAGAAGCAGCACAGAGACCAGCCTGGCAGGAGCAAGAAATGAGTTGTGTGTGTGTGGGGGGAACAGCACACAGAGCGTCAGTGGGAGTGGACTCCACCCTGCGTGGAAGGGGTGCGAGGCCAGTTTGTACAGAGTCACCCAGCGCCCCTGGGGGTGCTGGCCGGTTGCAGGCAGCCAGGCTGGTGGCTGTCGCTGAGCCCGGAGGAATGGGCGCTGGTCCTGGTCGGGAGAGACGTGGAAGGCGGGGCAGGCGGTCCAGGTGGATCAGATGGGGGGAGGGGGAGAGCAGTGGGTGCGGTCGCTGGGTTGTGGAAGGCTTGGCAGGGAGTGTGGACTCAGTGTGGGATCTGCACTATCAGCTTCGCACTATCAGTTTGGGTGTAGCCAGAGGTGGCTGGAGAGTGTACGGTAGACGCTAGATGCCAGGCCTGAGTGGGGTGCGGGGCCGTGCTACGAGGCGTCATCAAATAGGTGGCACCTGCACCCAAGGGGCGAGGGGTGTTGGGGGTGGGGACAGAGGCCCAGCTGGCGCTGCAGGGAGTCGGGCAGCGGTGGCCTGTGTGGTGGCCACGCTGGGAGGCGGAGCCCGGCGGGGAGGGGAGTCATGGTGAGTTGGTGTCGGACTCTGAGGGGCGTAAGGACGGACCCCCCTGGTGAGCCTGGAGCTCCGGGAATGGACGGGCCACGCGTGGAAGGCGATGGGACAGACCCAGGCCGCCCTGTCTGCTCTGCCCCAGCCCCTCCCAGCACGGCCCCCAGGGCTGGCCAGCGGGTTTCTCCTGCACTGACCCCTCCCCCAGCCGGGGTCAGAGGGCAGCAGGACTGACAGGCAGGCAGCTCACGAGGGATGCCCGCTGGTGCCCGGGCCAGCTGGCTTTGGGGCCTCTGTGGGTCTCCCGGGATGTTCCCCCCTGACGCCTCCTGTCCCGCAGGCACGGGCAGCGGCTCTGTGTCCCACGCCATCATCCGCACCGTGGCGCCCACGGGCCACCTGCACACGGTGGAGTTCCACCAGCAGCGGGCGGAGAAGGCGCGGGAGGAGTTCCGGGAGCACCGCCTGAGCCGCTGGGTGACCGTGCGCAACCAGGACGTGTGCCGCAGCGGCTTCGGCGTGAGCCACGTGGCCGACGCCGTCTTCCTGGACATCCCGTCGCCGTGGGAGGCCGTGGGCCACGCCTGGGACGCCCTCAAGGTGGAAGGTGCGTGGGTGCTGGGAGCGGTCCGCTGGGGGCTCGCCTCTGGGCCCAGCGAGGGCAGAGGTCAGCAGGCCACACCGCAGGGGCGGGACGGCCTCGGAGGTCACCCGGCTGCAGGGTGGGGGTGAGGGTGAGGGTGGAAGACTCAGGCTCCACTGGGTGCCCACCCGGGGAGGGGGTGCCTCAGCCCCTGCGGAGTGAGGGGGACCTGCACCACGGGTGTGCCGGAAGTCAGAGGTCAACCCCTGACCCCAGCGGTTCCCTGTGGAGTCAGAGCTGCCCCTCCCCCAGCCAGGAGCCAGGCGTCTGGTCCCTTTTAGGGAAGAAGCCAGCGTGGAGGCGGAAGTGGGCGCCTAGCCAGGGAGGCGCTGGCTGGGCCCTGGGTTTTTCCCTTTTCTGGAGAGGGAGCGGCTGGGGCAGTGGCCCCTTCCCTCCCGCCGCTGAGCCGTGGCTGCAGGGAGGGCTGCTCCTCGGAAAGCAAGGCCCCGGCAGGGTGGTGCCCCAGCAAGGTGCTGGCCCCCGGGGGAGGGTGCTGGCCCCGGGGAGGGTGCTGGCCCCGGGGGAGGGCAGCAGTGGCCCCTGCCCGCTGGCTCAGGCTCACCCTGGACCCCAGGTTCTCTGCCCAGGTGGCCTGGGGTCCGGAGTGGGACAGCCCTGGCTCCCCTGGCCCTGCCCTCCCAGCTTCGCCTTAACACCAGCGCCTCTCCCTGCTTTCCATCTGCTCCAGGGCCCCGGGGGGTCCAGGCCGCAGTCCGGGGAGGCCAGAGCGGGCGCCGCTGCAGCTGCTGGGCACCATGCCATCTGCTGCTCCTTTAATTCCTCGGCTCTTTGTTCTGGGCCCGGAGGCGCTCTGGCCCTTTTCCGGCTCACCTGCCCGCGGGGAGCCTGCCCAGCTACGTGTGGCCCCGCCGTCCTGGCCCCGGGCTCCTGGAAGCTCCCCCTCCCCCCGCCTCGGGGCCTCAGTGTCTCTGGCAGTGAACACGGGGCCGGGCTCCTCTTGGTGATCCTGCAGCTCTGACGGAGACAGGTGTCCCGGTACGGGTATGGTGGGCGACCAGGCCACACCCCTCCCCCCACCCTGGCTTCCAGAACCTTCCCTGCAGCACTGGGACCGGGCAGGCTGAGAGGCACTGCAGGCACCCACCCCACCCCTCATCCTCGCTGCCTGCCCTGCACAGAGGAGGCGCCTCCAGTTCCTGGGAGCTGGGACGGCCTCTGGCCTCCTGGGACCCCGTGCCTCACCCGCTAGGGCTGTGTGGTTAGGGCTGTCCCAGAATGGTTAGGAATGTCCGCGTAGGGCTGTAAGGTTAGAGCTGTGTGGGTATGGATGTCTGGTTAGGGCTGTGCGGTTAGGGCCAGCTGGTTAGAGCTGTTCTGGGCCAAATGAGCTGGCAGCTGGGATGCCAAGGCCCGACCTAACTCCCGACCCAGCCTTTGCCCTGCCCCTGACCCCCGCTCTTCATGGCCTGAGCCCATGGCCAGCCTCAGACCCATGGCAGAGGCACCCACCCTGCTGGCCCACACGGGTCTCTCGGTCGGCGCCCACTCCCGAGGCCGAGGGGGCGGGGTGGGAGAGGGGCCTGCCCGCTGACCCGTGTCCTCCCCGCAGGCGGGCGCTTCTGCTCCTTCTCGCCGTGCATCGAGCAGGTGCAGCGCACGTGCCAGGCGCTGGCGGCGCGCGGCTTCTCGGAGCTGAGCACGGTGGAGGTGCTGCCGCAGGTGTGCAACGTGCGCACCGTCAGCCTGCCCCCGCCCGACCTGGGCGCCGGCCCCGCGCCCGACGCCGGCCCCTTCCGCAGCGGCACGCCCATGAAGGAGGCCGTGGGCCACACCGGCTACCTGACCTTCGCCACCAAGACCCCGGACTAGCTAGCGGGCTGCCTGGAGGCCTGGGCCGAGGCTGGGCCAGCAGGGAGGCTCGCTGTGGCGCCTTATATGGCCGGGCCCTGCTGGGCCTGTTCGGACAGATGGTGGGGTGGGGCCTCCTGCTGCTGGGGGCCTGGGGGAGGGGCCGCCCTGCCCAGTGTCCCTGTGGAGCTGCTGCCCGATGCCTCAGGAGCCCCACTGCCACGGCTCCTCTGTCCAAGCCCAGGGGTGCGGGTGGTGGCCCCAGGCGGGGAAGGAGGTGGGGAGCAAAGGCTGAAGGAGGGGGCAGGGGACCCCCGACTCCCGAGGCCGGGCTGCCCGTGAGGCCCGTGGGGAACTCAGCCCTCCCCTGGCCCCTGCCCCCTCCCCAGCGCTGCTGGGCCAGGCTGGCCCAGCGACTAGGGTGCAGCACACCCGTCCCTCCCGGGGCAGCCCCCCCCCCCCCCGCCCCCTGTGCCTGCGGGGAGCTGCCTGCCTTCCTGGGAGGACGTGGCCTCGTCAGCTAGGAGCCTCGGGTGGGCGGGCCTTTGTCCCCAGCCAGGCTCAGAGCCCCTGGAGCCCTTGTTGCTAACCCCCCCCGGTTTCTCCGGGGGCGGGGCCAGCAGGGAGTGCACCAGGACGGAGGGCCGGACACCGGGGGCGGACACCGGGGCGGGGCACATGTCACCTGCCTGGCCTGGCCTCCAGCTCTGGGTGTGGCTGCATCCCTGCCCTGCATACGGCCTGGACTGTGCACATGACCCGGACTGTGCACATGACCCGGACTGTGCACATGACCACCTGGTGGAGAATAAACCCTCCCTGCGCTGCACACTGAGTCCTGTCCTGGAGGCTGGACCCCGGCCCACACCACGCCCAGGCCGGACCGCAGCACACGCCCACCCGGCCTGATGCTTCCTGTTGCCCAGCGGGCACCACGGGCCTCGGACGACTGGGACAAAGGCCGAGTGTGTGCCACCCCCACTGGCTGCCAAAGGGCCACTTGTCCCCGGGACGGGAGGGGTGGGGGAGGGAGAGCATGTCAGCCTGTGTCCCAGAGCTCTGACCCCCCAGGCCCCTGCCTCTTACTCAGATGTTTGGTGTCTCGTGCTCCCTGAAGGGCCCCCAGACCTGCCATCCGGCCTGGGCCACCCCAGGTTCTGTGGGTCCTTCCGCCTGGAGGACCAGTTTCCTAGTGTCTGTCCGTAGGCTGGTGGCTCCCCCGCTCCCACACACCGTGCAGCCTCCGCTAGACTTGGTGCCTCGGGGTCCTTGGAACCAGCACCTTCCCCAGGGGCTTAGCGCGTTTCCAGGACTGGCCCGGCTTCAGACCAGATGCCGCCGGGGACAGGAGAGCTGAGGGCGTCCCCTGGCCGTGGGGCAGGGCCCGCTGCTGGGCTCCGGCTTCAGAGCTCCGGCCGACTCCTGTGCCCCTGCAAGGCTCCCCTCCCGCCCCTGAGAGGAAGCACCTGCTCAGCCACTGCCTGCCTCCCTCCCCCCCCCACCGTGTCCTGTGCTGTGCTACGTGGTCACCCAGGGCCAGGGAGTGACCAATTGTCAGGTCAGGGACGGTCACCTTGAGTCAGCAGCACGGGACTGGTCACACGGCGAGGGGTCATCCTTAACCACTCCCGCCCAGACACTGCAGCCCTGCTTTTCCTTGGAAATGCCTGCACTGCCCCACCCCTGCTGAGCGGCCAGCGTGACACCCAGCTCCCTCTGCTGCCCGGAGGGGGGGGGAGGCTCAGACCGCTCCCGGCCCGCCAGGATCCTGCCCTCGGGCCAGGATCAGGTCTGCCTGCACCAGCTCCCACCGCCTCCGCCGGGAAGCCTGCCCTCGGCCCCTGGCCTTGCTGTTCACTCTCCTGCTGTCCTCCACGCCACACCTGCGGGCCTGCCTCTGGCTTGTGAGCAGATGGTCTGCGCAGAGCCCAGGCCCGAGGGATGTGCTCCTGCCCACTGCACAGGTGGAGAAACTGAGGCACAGAGGGGACTGGGCCCCAGGCCCCGCCCACCAGACCTCCCGTGTCACACTCCTGCCCTGAGAGGTGCCCTGGGCTGTGACCGGAGGGAGGTTTCTCTGAGGGGTTGGCCCAGGCAGGGTCTGGGGGCTGCTGGGAATCGGAGTGGGGGAAGCAGGAGGCCCTCCGGGAAGGTGTGAGCTGGGACCCGAGGGACCAGGCACAGTCAGGAGAAGTGCGTGCTGGGAGCAGAGCAAGGGAAGGAGCTGGGCCTGTCCTGGGAGGGGGGTTGGGACAATCAGGTAGGCCTCGCCAGGAGGTGGCCAGACCCCACTCCACCCTCGGGGATGCCTGCCCCGTCACACCCAGCCTCTGGCACGGCACGTAGGCGCTGGGGAGAGACTACATCGATGTTGGCACAGTTTGTGCTCAGGAAACACCTCTGATCATTATCCCCGGGGCTGGGGCTGCCACCGCCAGGAAGCCCCCTTCTCTGTCAAATGCCAAGGTCTGGATTTTGGGGCTACTTATGGTTCTGATAATATCTTTTGTCCTTGGAGGCACTCAAATAGTTCTTGTGCTTCAGGGGTGTTTGAGTAGTCACGGAACTGGGAGAGAAGACAGGGCACGGAGACTTTTCTGGCAGATGCAGGTCATCCGGCCACTGGGCTAGTCAGTTGCATAGTAAAACCCCAAACTGGCCACCTTTGGCTGCGCGTGGGCCGATGGCTCTTCAGTTGACCTTCACAGTTTTCAAGGCAGGTGTATCGGGTTGCTGTCCACAGAGATGTGCTGCATAACAAATACCCCCTCCCCCAGAAACCGAGCAGCCAGTTCCTCTCAGGTCTGTGGCCTGGGAGCTCTTGGCCAACCTCAGCCAGGCCCGAGCGGGGGCTGAACTGACAGGAGGCCCCTCCTCCAGACATGGGTGCACGCTGGTCGGTCCACAGCTCACCCATCAAGGGCAAGCCGAGTCATGGGGCACTTTTCACGCCTTCGGTGTGTGGGCTAACCTAACCTCAAGTCAGGTGGAGAGAGACCTGGGGTTTTAGGGAGGGGCTGGGTGGCCACAGGCACAGGGCGGGTGCCAGCAGGGCCTTCTCTGCCCAGCGGGCACTGTGCACAGCCGGACCTGCAGGGCCTCGCCAGCCCCGGCATCCTCCCCGTGCTGCGTCTGTGCCCGTGGAGGGCATTTCAAAGTCAGTCTGTGCAGGCGTGGCATCAGGAGGAGGGAATTGTTCGTTCCCACCAGGCCCAGAATAGCTCAGAATTGGGTCACAGCCTCCAGCCTCTGACAGTAATCCGCTTTCTCCCGCATCTGTCCCTGTGAGGGTGGTTAGAAGATGGGACGGGAGGGGATGTGTGCATGACTGGCCCTCCGTCCCTCATGTCCTTAGCGCTCTCTGCCCCCTCGTGCCCACCCGGCCGCTGCCCTACTTCCCACCACCCATCAGCCCTCACTCACAGGCCGGGCGGGTGACAGTCCCGGTAGGCAGGCTTGGCACTGCAGTGCCCCTCGCAGGTGAGGACCCTGGTCCGGCTCAGCTGGAAGCTGTAGCCCTCCTGGCCTCCCTGCTGACCTTGACCTGACCTGAGTAGGTCACCGCCTCCATCCCCTTCTTTGACTCCCTCCTGGGTGCACCTTCCTTCAAAGGCAGCTGAAGGCGATGGCCAGTGGCCCCCACCTGGGAGAGTCCAGGCTCACCCCCCCCCCATGCTCCAGACCCTCTCCGTCCCTGCCCTGCGACCCTTGGGCCCAGGAGCCCCGGGGACGGGCAGATGGCACCCTGTCCTGGGACACAGGTGGAGCCAGGTGCTGGCTGCGCTCAGACACGCGCTGTGGGAAGAAGAAATGCTGGTGGCTTTTCCCACAGGATCCAGAGCTCAGCACCGCCCGTCTCCATGGCAACGCCCCAGGCATCCGCCCCGCATGGATTGCACGCTGCTGGGGAGGCAGAGGCTCCTCCCGCCCCCTCTTGCCGCCGTCTCCCCCTCCCCCCTCCCCCCCGCTGGTGTGAGCTTGGCTGGGTGCTGGCCCTGCTTGGGGCTCCGGTGCCGGGAGTGAGGGGCTGCTCACCGCAGGCTCTCCTCCCGGGGACCCGAGCTGGGCGGGCCGGGGTCCCCAGGCGGCAGCACCGCCTCTCGGGGCTAGAGGCACAGGCGGGTCCCCCACCGCCAATTCAGGAGGTGCGTGTGGATGGCTCCCCAGGGGACTGGAACCTAAAGCTGTGAGAAGCACCCCTTTGCCACCAGGGAGCCAGACCAGGCCTGCTGCTGGCTGTCCCGAGTGCAGACCCGCATCCCATCTCATCCCGCCTCCTCCTCCGCCCCCTCTGCCAGGCGGGGCGCCCGAGGCCCCAGTGAGCCAGACAGGCCCACGCGGCTGTCCCCTGGGCTGGCGGCCTCGCTGCCGTGGAGTGGCGCATCGGGGCGCCAAGCACAGCACTGCCTCACCGCGTCCGGGCACCGGAGTGGGCTCTGCAGACCCAGGCGCTGCCGTTCCCGGGACTCAACCCCCCACTTCCCCACGGGCCCGGCCTGGCATGCTGTGCGGGGGGCTGGGCTGCGGGGAGAGACGCAGGCTCCCGGCCCCACTGGCTCCGGACAAGCAGTCACTGGGGGCGGATAGGAGTTTCAAACTCGGTGCCTTCGAGTTCCTTTTTATTTTATTTTATTTTTTTAATATATTTTATTGATTTTGTACAGAGAGGAAGGGAGAGAGATAGAACATCGATGAGAGAGAGTCATCGATCAGCTGCCTCTTGCACACCCCCTACTGGGGATCTGCCCGCAACCAAGGTACATGCCCTTGACTGGAATCGAACCCGGGACCCTTCAGTCCCCAAGCCGACGCTCTATCCATTGAGCCAAACCGGTCCCGGCCGAGTTCCTTTTTAAAAAATCGGTTTCAGAGACGGGGAGGGAGCGATAGAAACACCGAAGAGGGGAATCCCCATCCGTCGTCGGCTGCCTCCTGCTTGCCCTCCACCGGGACCCAGCAGTTCCGTGCAGCCCTCCTAGCTTCTAGCACCATCCACTCGCTCTGTGCTCGGCTGGTCGGGG